TCCTCTTACAAAATTTACTCCGTTTTCCTACGCCTACTAAAATGAGAAGCTTGCGCGAAGCCGAAAGGAAGGCTTTGACGTTGGTTGAACTGCGAATCATGGCAGCAAAAGCTGGTCTGAGGTACTGCTCTGACTTGAAGAAGAAGGACCTCATGGATCCGATCCTGGGAAAGAGATAAGCTGAAGTCAAGATGACCCATTATGTGCTCATGGACATGACGAGGAAGAGGGGAAGGAAGAACCACTTAAGATAATGACCCGTCTTGGATCAATCTACTAATCAAGCAATCAGATATGCTTTTCAACGTCGACTGGTTATTTAACTGAAAACCTAACGCAAATAGTCGAATCTAGGTTAACCAGTTTTGCTCAAAGTTTTTCTGAAAGTAATTGTGCCTCAGTAGAGCAAGCCGTGAAGAAAGTTCGTCGTGAGAACTACACATGTGTTCGGAAGGAAAACCAATGGCAACTCGGTCATGAATTTCATGTCCTCGATAAGTTGGATGACGCTTCGAAAAGTGAAAAGTTGCTCCTTTGAAAAAGAAGGTACTGGAAGAAGGTACTCTCTCGGTATCGAAAAGAGTAAACGCCATAAAGTTCGCTGACAAGAGCGAATTTGGTTGACCTACAGTCAACAAGTATCTATCTGACGAGCTCGCATCAAATCCTGATGACGAACAGAAAATGTTTCCGAGCAGAGAGGTGAGCCGAGAGGAGAGTGGTTAAGGATACAAGTCGTCGGCAGCAACGAGCCATTTCTTCTCGAAGGCCATCCAGTTATCATTAAAGTGCTTCTATACCTCCAAGTTCTTCCAATTTGTTGGCAGGCTATCGCTCAATGTGTAGGGCTTTTGGCAACTTCCGGGGTTTAAGTCCTTGTTGAGATCTATTTGAATCGTTCACCACATCTTTACCATCTTTGGTTTTGCTTTGGATATAAGGCGTTTATCACAGAGGCCATATTCCAGTTTTCTCCATGCTTTCTAGTATCTTGCAGTCATATTTAAGTCAGTGCTAAATATCAAAATATCTGCGTCACACAGTTGAGCAGATATTTGTTTACTGCATGTTCTGAATGGCATTTTGTGTTCATTAGTGAGTTTATCGGTATGTCTCTTAAGTGTTAAGCATCGCCAGCAATTACGGTCACGACGAATCCCCGCGGCGTCAGGGGTGCTTCCAGTGAATCCAACATGGTGGCCGTGCGTAGGAAGAGAAGTGTCTGGGAAATTGATTAGGTACAACTCCACGGATTATCATCTGTGGTGTTGTGCGATACGACTCGGAAGAGGCCGAAAACTTACCCTTCAACGTACAACGTTGAAAGAATTATATACCGGCGAAAGGTTCGTAATGTGAGTATTAACAGACCTTCGAAGAAAGAAATAACAATACGAATTCTGTCTATATTTTACTAACACACTGATATTTTACATATGTTAGGCTATCATTGATGGAAACACTCACAGACTCTTTAAACCGAGATAAAGCAGATTTGTGGATTAAATCAGAAATCTCAGAGGCCTCAGAAATACTAGCCCACGCGATACGAACAAAAAATTTTATCCTTACTTTTCATATATTAGCGCGAAATCTGCCGCGCAAACTTGCTCACACGTTTAACTGCTGGCCAAAAGCGCGCCGTAACACCTATCCCAGAAAGACTAGCAGCTTTAGAAAGGTGAACTCGCGTTGAAAATTTTGATACCAAACATGACATACCTTGCGAAGTTTCTCTGGAAAAATTATGCTCCGAACGAGTGCCGGATCTCGGGAAGTAAGTCGATATCGCAGGTAGAAGCTTGTTTTTCTTTCTGGTAAGGCTCAGGATTTTTTGCATTCCTTGCAAGGGAAAAGGACGGACCAAACATTTCGCTGTGGACTTGAAATTTTAGGGTAGGGTTAAGAACAAAGTCAACCATGGGTTTCCGCTCTGGCAAGTGAAGTACCAGGCACAGGAACACTGCTTGGTATCTGTCTCTAATTTTAGGCTTTTCAGCTTTTCATTGCTAGCTATAAATTAAAGGCTTCAATGGATTGCTCATCTCGATACAAAGCAAAGGAAAAATGTTTTTTTTTTTTTTTAACTTAAGTCCTATTATTTACAGCAGTGCACAGACAGCAGTCGTTATAAGGGCATCCCGCTCCAGCAAATCTTCCATCTGTAATTTTAAACCGACTCTTTTTTTTTTTTTCTTTAAAATATTAAAAATCTCTCCATACATATTTTTGCAAAATTTGACGCCATTTTTAGAGTTACATTTCTAAGAGACCGCTTACGCTACGCGGGCGCTTGGCCATAATAGTTGGCGATGTTATTTTAATAATAGCGGTATCTCTCTGTTGAGTAATTGAGTGTTCGTTCTTCGACCCTGTGAACGCACACATTTGCAAAGACAATTAATTTTCATTTGTTCGTGTTAGAGGGTGGAGAGTTCGGTCATTTAAGCGCCTTCTGCTGAGACTCAACGTCTGCCGATTTTTCGAGAAGCACCTTTCGTCGGGAGTAATCAGCTGTGGCATCGGGGTCTGATGATATTCATCGGTTCACGTTTGATTTCGACTTTTCTTGTTTGTTTTTTGGAAAACAATAGTTAGTTCAATATTCGGAACCAAAGCAATGATGTTAAAGGCCGTTTAATTTCTGCCGCAGGTTTTATTTCATAGGGCAAACTAGTTTTATTTACCTTGAAGGAAGTTTTGGAATCCGACCGAATGAGTGTTCTGATATCGTGGCTGCAATTATTCAAAAGAAAGAGCTAAATTCCGCAGGTCTCTTGATTAACGGTGCTTATTTTAATTTTTTTGACCCGTGTTTTTGGCCTGATTTAGCCCATGTGTGGTGGCCTAACTTGGCCCGTGATTTTGGCCCGTTTTGGCCAATGTGTTGTGACCTGATTCGGCCCGTGCTTTTGGCCTGATTTGGCACATGTTTTTGGCCTGATTTGGCCCTTTGATTTTGGCCTTATCTGGCCCCTTGATTTTGGCCTGATTTGGCCCCTTGATTTTGGCCTGATTTGGCCCCTTGATTTTGGCCTGATTTGGCCCATGTTTTTTGCTTGGTTTAGAAGATCGAGCTGGCGTGGCTTGGCTAACATGTTTCTTGAATGTTGCTTCGGGAATTTTTTCCCTTGCATTGCATTCTGTGACATCATTTTCTTTTGATTAAGTGTTGTTCTTTCCTAAATGTTTGATCTGCTTTATTTATTATTTATTGTAATTCGGTTCTTTTATCAATCGCCTGTTCAAATTTGACGGTTTTGAGACCTTTTTTTTTTTTTTTTAGACATTCTTCTCTCAGGGATTTGACATGAAGCGTGCGATTTGCAGGACCACTCACTCCGTCGTTTGGTACCAGTTCTCCTGCATTTGCAGCTATGATCGAAGGCACGTCGGGCTGGCTAAGATGACGAAGGTTGGTATGCCTGTAATTCCCACTAAGTCCTTGCGCATCGCCTTGTTTATCGCTTACGGAAATTTGTGCGGAGAACCATATGGGTGTATCACCAATTGAAGCTGTGCTTTATGGTATTACAAGGGGGCATACAATGGCCGGGGTGGAGTCGTGCCTCCCTTAGTCCTCATCCACTCATGAAGTCATCTGTCGAAGGAGCGAAAAGAACGAAAGCTCGTCCAGTCCAGCCCTAAGAGCCTTAGTCCGCCGATATAGTGCAAGCAAGGAATTGCTGATGACGTTACGGGGGATTCTTTTGTTATTTATTTTTCTGGTTGGATTTTATGGATTTTATAGATTTTTTCGTGTTGACGAAATCAACAGCTTAATTCTTAACGACGTTGCTATCAGGTGTAATCATATGGCAACTTATGTTGCTAAGCGCAAGAATGACCAATACCAAGAATTAAGGTTATACTCAGTCACTATCTTGCTAGATCAGCGAGGTCTACTTGTCCGGTTGCCATAACCCAAAAACTCATTAAGTTCTTGCCGTAGTCAACCGGTTTCGAATATCCGTTTGTTCGTCGTATCACTAAGGCGAAGTCTCGCGAGCATTTCCACTCTACTGAAAGGGGTTTCTTTAACTGCGCTTGAAGGAGATGAATTTAAAAGGCGCATAGAACCTAATGGAAACATCGCGGACGATGTTTCCAAGTTCGGTATGCATGATATCGAGTCTGGTGCTGCGTTCAACCTCGCTTGTGGGCGTATTCCAGGAGACCTATTGAATATACACGCGGGGTGGACGTGCCCTTCTTTAAAATTGATACAAATTAAGTACACGATTGATGCCCGTTTAAGTTTGTCAAGGGCACTTTTGCTGTACTTTAACTGTTCACGTATCTTTTTGTTCTTATAGCTACTTATTTCTAATAGAGTAGATTACCATTCCCCTACTCTACGCGCAGTCGCTCCCTTTCAGCAAAGTCAGTCGCGCGGGTGAAAAACAATTTAGCGAAAATCCGGGCTTACTTTGGTTTTGCCTCTGAGCAGCTTTCAATAGTGTCGAAAACCCAAAGTAATCACAACTACCAATTAGAACAAAGGATATTATCACTGACCAACGATAACTCAAAGTAACACAGGCAACCTGCTGGGAGAGCTGGAAAACGAGGGTGGCCAAGTTGGGATTAGTTATTGTTCTGAATGTAACGGTTGACCCTTTACACCCTAATATCATTATGCATATTCTCCATACTGTTCTTTATACATTTCCTGAAGTGCTGACAAGGAGAATTTGTCTACTGATCAAAAGCTTCTTTCTCTTGGAAATTCTCGTGACCTTTGTGTGTGATTCAGGAGTGATATTGTAGGGAGAAATTAGATGCTAATCACTCTCAGGGTTTAAAGGGTTAAGAAGGTCACGTGAGTTTTCTAGACCAATTACGGAGCGAGGTAAAGCAAAACCAAAGCAACCGAGGATCACTTTCGACACAATTGAAAACTACTCTAAAAATATTTTATGTTTATTCTGGAACTTCAAATTCATACTACACTATTGAATTAGAGGGCTAGCTTTACTACAAAACCATTCACAAACCCATTAAACCAAACTTAGCTTTTATTTGTTTCGCATGTTTTACAAAATAATTCAAAAGCTGAAACTAGTTTCTCCATAATTTTTGTCACTAGATACACGAGTCTTAGACTGGTCCAGTTCCCAGACTCCGTTATTACTGACAGGAGTACACTGGAACTGAAACTATGCGTAACGCTGAATTCAACAGCGAGCACATGAACGAACAAATGTGACAATGTTAACTAACTATAAAAGATGCACTGCTTTAAGTAAAATCTATATTTGATAGGCGAAACACTGACCTAACTGGTTAATGGAAACAGCCAAGGAATTCTTAAAATTTATTTACATTAACATATCTAGCAAACTAGGAAGACTTATGAAACCTGGATGACGATGACTGAATTTCCAGTTTTAAATAAGTTGCGTGGCTCTCTTGTTCGACTATGGATGAGATTCAGATGGGCGACCACTGGATTTATCTCAACGTACGTGAAGTACCATCGTCTTTATGTTAGTCTGCGAGCAGGCTCCTATAAGTGGGCCCCTTATTATTGACGTTTTAGCACGAGCCCGCGTTAAATTATGAGGTCTCGAGCTTCACGAGTCGGCAAAAAGTCTGCCAGGGGTCTGGTGCTGATAATCACCAGACCTCCAGCAAACCTCTCCCCGAGTGGTCACAAATCTTCTCGCGGGAGGAGAAACGTGTGTCCTGCAGCACTAATAATAGGGGCCTGATCGCAGGCTATCTTTCTGTTTTTAACTATTTTCGGCCAACAGAATTAAACTGTTCCAAACTTAACGTTACTTCGTTTCGTGTAGGCATAACCTTCGAGGTTAAAAAAGGTTTGGAACTTCTATGCCCTATTTTTTCGACATGGTTCACTCACGAGAACGTTTTTTTTCACTTCTTGTCAGTCGCACATATACTACCAGGCTTATTCTTTTTTTTTCCTCAATGTAATTCATTTTCTATCTAAAGTGAACAACTCAGCAAGAAGCACCAACCTTTGGTGAACTCACCGACGAACGCGCGTTTCATTTCTCGCTCGACCGGAAAAGTCTTTCCTTATTGAAAATTCTGTAGCAAATTTTTACATATTGGTAATCTTCTCTTGTCAAAAATACAACGCGAATATCGCTATTTGGCTTCTTCGTAATCCACTCTCAGAAGTCCTTGAGGGTGTGCGCGTATTCAATGACGACCCCATTTTCATCAAACCAAATAACTGACGTAATTTATCTCAGGTGCTTTTTCCTCGGGCTCAGATCCCCGCGGTTGCCATTGATTTGGAGGTAGTTCGGGCTCCGGGGTGAGTGTGTTTCGTGACGATCGTAAAGATTCGGGTCTCCGGAAACCGTCTGAGTCCTGCGACGGAGGCCTAACGAGTTGTCCATGAATATTGATGTACGGCTATAACATAGAAGAAAAAGTAACGGAAGTATTAGAAAACTCTCGTAAAATGTTTGTGAGAAGAGTGAATTTTCTGCCTTCTATGAAGCAGAGTCTCATAACTGATTTTGCTTTTTTTTTTCCTTTAGATTCCCATTACATTATTTGTCACGCAAAGCAGAGTTCCTGAGAGAATAAAGCAACAAAACAACACACGCTTAACCACACGAATAGAGCAGTTTTCGATTGAGTATCGAAAGTGAACCTACACTGCTTTGGTTTTGCCTTACTTCGCTCTGTGATTGGTCCAAAAAAAGTCGAGCCGCCGTCTCAACCAATCAAATGAAAAACTGACCAATTCCAACTTGCTTAGTCTACACTCAAGTAATAACCTGCTCGAAAATGACCTGAATAAGGTGAAAACCAAGAAATGCACACGCTGGCCACATCTATCGATGTTCGGTTTTACCAAAGCAGAAACCCCTTGAGACTCAAGGGTAGTGGAGGTATCATTTCATACTCTCGTTTTAGAGGATCTTTAAAATAACTTCGTTAATTGTTGTTGTTGTTGTTTTTTTAAGAACTGCAGAATATCACCCTGCACAGACCCTCCCGGTATGTACCTGTCTCTGTCGTCCCGGTGAAGAAGGTGGATGGTAAGGCGCAGGTCCGTCCGAGTCATAGCGAGGATCCTGGCCGTCTGGTGGATAAACAATGTCGCGTAAAAACATAGGCGGCTCTGGAAGGCCATCATCTACATTGAAAAAAAAACCACCATTAGGAAAGAAACAAAGCAGTAAAACAACAACAACCAAATGACTAACAAGAATAGAAATTAACAGGCCGAGTGAACGATGACGAGTCAATTCAAGATTGAAACGCTTTACATCGTGCAACGTTTATCTCCAAATGGAGACAAGGGTCCAGGGTCCAGGGGCCCCTCTGAAAACCGCTGTGGCGATTATTATTATTATTGTTATTATAATTATTGTTATTATTATTACTATTATTATTTTTATTATTATTACTATCATTATTATTATTACAAGGCTGGTCACTTTCAGGGGTCAAAGGGTTAAATATGGAAAATATTAAACAAACTTGAGAAAAGTTTCACAAGATCTATTAGCTATGAAGTATGTTACATTCTAAATCCATTTTTAACTTTACAATCTAAATTTTCCTGCACTGTTTTGTTTTGTTTTTGTTTTCTTGGCTGCTGTTAGTTACATATTTAATTCAAATCAGTATTGGAAGATATCATCCATGTCATAACAATTTTGTAATACCTATAAAATAATACACAGTATCATTCCCACTCATTCAGAACAATTTTGTAATACCTATAAGATAATACACAGTATCATTCTCCTTCATTCATAACAATTTTGTAATACCTATAAAATAATACACTGTACCATTCCCACTCGTTCAAAGTCGGCTGTGAGACGACAACCTTACCTGGATAGTTTTGATAATTATTAGAAATCGGTCGGTTGCTAGGCAACATAGCCATAGGGGGTGGTAGGTCCGGGGGCCCCTCATTCGGTGGAAGATTGGACGGATCATCCAAATCTAAGTCGTCACCATCATGCACTGGGAGGTCCTCGAATGATCTGTCCTCAGGGGTGTACTGTGGGGGAGGCCCTGTGTGGTTGGAACAAAAGAAAACTATATCAGCTTGAGAGCGTATTTCGATTACCTTCAATAGTAGTGGCCAATCAGAACGAAGAAAAACATCGCAAGACCCTGTAACATCTTAAAGTGAAAGCACTTTAAAAAGAGACAAACGCGAGCAACCAAATCGTGATCTGAAGCAGTCTTAGATCTTGTTGATTGAGGAGGGTGGGGAAGGTAAGACTCTGGAATCTGACTCTGGAAAATGAAAATTACAACCCTCATCAACTTTTTCAAAACATCCTGTCACCCCCCCCCCCCCCCATATTGAGTTCTTGTCAGGGAGGAGAGGGAAATGTTTCCGCTGCTGTGACTAGTACTGTAACTAAACACTCCAAGATTACTTTCAGCGCGTGCTTGAAACTGGCTCACATGAAGGCAAGGGCAAGACCATCTGTTCAGAATTGAACGAAGAATGCAGTCTGACGAGAAATACTTAGTACTCATGTTCGAGAATTTTGTCGCAGTTTTTCTATGCTGCTCTTCGCTACCTGGGTAAAAGCTAGAAACCAAGGTTTGAATATTAATGCAAACACTTCTGTCATAAGCAAAAATTTCTTTATCACGAATGACAGTTCATCTCGAAAACTAAAAAGATCAGTTTAATTTTTTTTGGGTGTGTGTCTACCCGTAGTTTCCAGAAATCTTGAAACAAAAAATTAAGAATTTAGTTGCCTTCATTTTCTTGAAGATTTCAGGAATTTATGAATCTCATCAAATACGAGTAACTAAGAAGTTAAGTTATTGTTTTAAGTTTGTACTAACATCCTTTATAAGAGTCTTTCCAGTATGGAGGCCCATACATCTGTGGCGGTGGGCGAAGCCTCTCTGTTGAACGACAGCATGTTTTCAAATTTAGTTTTACATTTTTAAATAGTTTTACTTAAGGTTTAAGTGAGTGTTAAAACGTTATATTACGCTGATTAAAAGTACCATCATCGAAGAGCTGGCACTAATCTCTAATTGGCTCATAACACTCGGAAACTGTCCGAGTATTTCATGAAGATAGACCGATGATGTCACATTCCGAAGGAGCTGTATCACGTAATATGCTTTTCTTGAGTTTTACAACGAAGGTGCCAATCGTCAACAAAAATTTTCGATTTACTTTAACAGCGTTAGTTTAGCATCTTACACTCTACTTTAAGGTGGTGAAACGTGCGAGCAAATTGTTATTACGGCTATTACAATTTTAAAGAAATGTTTTTGTCCCAGAAGTGCAAGTGGAAAAAATTAAACCTTAGAGTTAAGCGAATTACTATTAATGATAATCACAGAGTCGTTTCGTGTTAATTGAATTGTAGTACATTAATGAAACATGGTTAAAGGCTTCCCCCAATAAGTTTGTTTTTCAATCAAAAGAGTAGTTATCCGCCCAACTGAATTAAAGTGAGTCATTTATACATTCATCACATGCAAAACGTTTAAGTGTTAATCAGCAGACTATTTCTCACAAAACTTTTGAAATAATATTTCTGTAAACCCACGATATTAGGTAGTTTTTTTTAATGATATTGTTATTCCGCAAGCTGATAAGTTTGATAATCATGTTATTGTGTTAAAAAAAAACCTCCTACCAATCGCTGGCTCATTTGGTTCACGGCGAGGTCTCTTAGGTTTGGGTCTCTTCTGTGGCAAAGCATATGGCACCGTAGGATCAAGGGGCCCATTTGCAGGACGACCACTCGGGTTAGCCCCCATTGGCAACACCCTCGGCCCCATAACACGTCCGTCCCGGTCCACTGCGGCGTAACCTGGCTCTTCAATGGATTCTACATGTCTGTTGACCAAACCAAATCAAATAGTAAAGAACAAAAATTAAAATGATGCAAAATATTTTACGAACAAAAGGGGTAACATTTCATTGAGTAATTCTGAAAGGTGAGGGCATATACCTAAAATAAATTTTCTGCGGCTTCTTAACCATGTATAAAGAACCTTACCAATCGACATCGGTTCACCTAAGACCCAGACCCTTTCACGGATCCTAATCCTAAGCTAAACCCTGAGCAATTCTCTAACATCAAACTTTAGACAATGACAAGGCCGTATATTACTACGTACCGAACCTAAAGTATTTAAAACTTTCTAGTCTCGTGTGGCATTTTTAGGCTCTGGTGTAAAGAAAAGAAATTCCTGTATTCGCTGAATCAAAGTTTAGACCAGCCCTACAAAAAATTCCTGAATTCATCCCTGTTCATTCCTTTTGGTTCCGAAAAATACAGAGCACTTTAAAGTCAACCTAACAAAGAAGTACGCTTCAAAAAAAAAAAAAGGACAAATTTTTACCTCCGCCAAGAAAAACCACATACACAAATTTACTCAACACGTTTTGCGATTCCAACGAATAACTGAAAAAAATTGACTTGAATCAAGCACTAACCTTACTCTCGGGGGAGGGGGTGCAGACCTCTGAGGCGTAAACCGTTGTTCTCCATCACTCGAGTCTGTGGGCTCATCAGCTGGTCGAGCTTGTCTTGGTCGGCGGCCTGAATGTCTTCCCTGCCCTGGCCCTGTGAGGTCCCCTGTTGACTTCCTGGTTTTGGGTTTCCTTCCTGACTGCCGCATTGCCTCTTCAAACGAAGGTGGTTCATGGTACGGAGGCAGTGTGCTGAAATCTCTCTGGGGTCCCCTAGCCGAGTATGCTGAGTTCGCATCCAGTTCACCAGTGCTTTGCGCCAAACGGCCGTTTCTCACCATGCGGGAGCCTGGATTGAGTAACATTTCAGGCTGCTGTCGAACAGAATCTAACAGAAGAAAAGAACTTTTATTCAAAACTTTTTTTTCGTTGTTTGGTTGCATGAATCGTGTACTTTTCCCGAGCAGCTTAGCTGTGGATAGTCAGCGAAGTTCGTCGCACAAGGTACAGCGCGTTACCATCAATTTTCTTTCCATCAATTTTTCTTTCATGGAGGTTCTTTTCATTTTTTTCCTTTTTTTTGGCGACCGACTTTGCCGAACAGAAAGGACTGATCGTCAGTTTACTGTAAATATGTTTCTTATGTACGAATGAAAAAAGAAAATAGCTGCACATCTGTGCACACAAAGTCGAAAGCACACAAGCTATTAAAAGCCTTTACCTTGTGACAGGTATCCAAAGTTTACACCCTGACTGGAGTCTGGTTTTTTCTTTTTTGCCTCGGTTGAGTTCACAGACTGCATTGACGCAGCTGCGAGGAACGGATCATCTTCCACCGACTCCATACCGTAGCTACGCCTGTTTTCCAGGACACGTGTCACATCGGGGCCACCCACAACATAGCTGAGTAAGGTAAAGATGACACACTTGGCGTGAGAACATTGCCGCAACAGTTCTAACATGTGTCAACTTTTTCGGTATAAGTAATCAGGCACGTATGTGTGTGTTTTGCTTTAAAACTTTATGATTAAACAAAGCCTTTTGTTCAAAGCTTGCAAAAGAGCAAATTCAATATCGTTTTCGACACAGAACGCTCATGGACATAGCTGATCCTAACAATAGACACAACACCCGCCTCATATAAATCTGGTTCACGAGCTCAGTTCAATGTAGGGAGAGCATTTGTCAGCCTGCCTAAAGTAACTGACAGCGATTCGAACCCTCATCAGGGGCTTATTCCATCCTCCATGTGTACTACAGCACCTATATACCTGTAAAGCGCGTGTACTTCGTGCGTGGGAATAACACGCGTTTCAAGTGCGTATAGTACCACGTGTGCGGTCGCAAAATTAAACGTGTAATAGAACTGATCAAGCGTTCCTCCGACGGAAAAAAAATTTTAAGATTTATCAATCAAATATTCAAATACATAAATATTGGAAGAGCCCTCTTACTTTGTAGTTTGAGACATGGGAACATTATTAGCTGCAACAGAAAGAGAGAAAGGAAAAATTAATCAAATTACATTTTATCATTTCAATAGAGAGTTTCATATACGTTCTCGAAAATATTAGAGTAAATAACTTGTAAATGGAGCCTCACAGAGTGTGGTCCCATAAACCTTCTGATGCTACAAACAGACCGCGTAGTTGCTTTTGGATAAAAATTCGTACATAAAGCTTGTTAAGGAGTTGCAATAACAGCTGGGTAGCGGGTACATCTAATCATTGGCTACCCGCTCGTGGCCTTTTAATAAGCGTCATTCTACCGCGAGCTTAAGGTAATTGTAAATTCTCGTCAAATTGGTTGACATTTACGAAATACGAAGTAACAAACTAGAATAAACCTTATAATGCAGGAAAATACCACTGAAACAGTCTTAACCTTCAAAATTTCCCAAGGGAGCCCAGATCTCCCTCGGAAGAGGAAGCCCTCCAGGCGCTCAAAACTACCCGCCTACCATTCAAAATACCCACTTGTATCCAATTTTTTTTCTTGTATAACCACTGTCCACACAGTCTTATACTTACCCCCGTGTTCCTTCTTCCGACGCTTAAAGCAACACAATGCAAGGACGACAATGGCCAGGAGAAGAAGACCAGCAACTAAAACAATAACAGCAATCATCCAGTCCTTTAACGGTTCACCATCACTTCTTGGTTCTGGAAGAGGGCCAGTCGGTACTAAAAAAACATTGAAAAACGCATAAAAAATCTTCCTTGAGGACAGAACGTGTATAGTAAATCGCATGCAATCCTCGCGCAAAGAGTAACTTACGGTTTGTACCTTTTTGAGAAACAAACTTCAACGACTTTTCCAGAACTCAGATTTATTTTTTATTCCAAATTTCACCTTTATCTCTTTCATTCCCAAGATTTCCGAATCAATTACCCTTACGGTCTTTACATATTCCCTACAACGTGAATTCTAAAAACTTTATTGCCTGAGTTAAGCAGATTTCCAGGACTTTCCAGGATCTGTAGTCTTTTTCCAAGACTTTCTAGCCCTGGAAAATGTCACAATAAAATTTAAGGACTTTCCAGGTTTTCCAGAACCCATAGGAACATTGTGATTTACGGGCTGGCATGACTGATATTTTAAGCCGGCTTCTAATTCAAAAGAAGCCTCCTAGTCAGAGCTGGTGTTACCTCTCCCCGACTCGTTTCCAGTCTTCCCGAGGGCGGAGAAACGCGCGTTCTGCAGCTCTCATAATGAGGACTTGCTCGCACGTTAATCAAATTATACCACGTACCTATATCACTATACACATACGCCGGAGAAGACTCCCCTGGTCGTCTCATATCCATTCTAAATCTGTATGAACTGTCAGCTTTCAGATCGCTCACTTTAAACTCTGATACAGATCTGTTCAGCTGAGAGGCTCCCTTGACAAGCTCCCACGAGCCCTCTCCTCCCTGCTGAATCTCAAGAGTCGCAATTGTTACTTGGTCATCTGCTATCGTCCATTCCACCAGTATGACAGAGGCGTCGTCTGATGCTCTCAAAGCTTTGACTGAAAGAAAGGACAAAAGAAGGATAATTTAGCTGACGTGTAGCTATATCCTCCCTCCCCCCCTGCAAGGTAAGGAAAATTCTACTACGAGCTATGAAGGCGTAAATAGTCTACATGCAAGCCAAGTTTCCCTGCTAGCTGTAGCAGGAAGGTGTCAATGGCGTCAACAGTTAGCCATAAAACGACCAAATTTTTAAACCTTTAGACGTACAATTTCACAGATTACAATCGCTAATGCTAAAATATTTTCCAAACATACCAGTTCCTCTGTCCGGAGGTATCTGGGACTCTAAAAACGAACAAACGAAAAACGATAAGAACAGCAGTCATTGCCATCACGTAATATTTCATAACATTGCCAAACATTCTATGATTTACTTTTTTCATATATTTTTTTTGTTACCTGCTGTTTTATACTCCTTTGGGTCTGACGGTTGGCTTTGGCCAAGTTTATTAGAAGCTTGAACGGTGAATTCATACACTGTTTCCGGGTAAAGTCCTGGTATAGTGTGCATGTTGTTATCTGGGTGACCAACAAACTGTTCCACAAAGTCTCGGTTGCTTTGTTTGACGCGATAATGGATTGTGAACTCTTGATCATATCCTCCACTGTATCCAGGTGTCCAGCTCACATTAACGCTAACAGTTTTCGAATTTTGGTCTTGAAACGACTTCACGTCCACATTAATTGGTTTATCTGGAATCCCTGCCAAGAAAATGACTCTGTTTCAGTTTTAAAAGATATTTTAGGGTGGTGAAAATCTATTCATTAGACCGCTTGTAAGCAAGAGTCCCACTTAGTTTACACTTGAAATTCTCCTTCACTGGCGATGGATGGCTGGGGTGGTGATTTGCTGTCTTCAAAGTGCTGCATCACACTCTAGTGAAAAACCTCCCAGGATCTTAACCAATGTCCGACGATTGTTTAACACCTGCCAAAGACCCTTGCAGACTAAGACCTCTAAGGATCCTCAAATTAATTTTTCAATTTTTTACAGTTTTTTTTTTTTTTAATTAACTCACGATAAGTATTTTTTTTTTAATACTTGCTGCTGATAATCTAAAGGTGGGATTCACATTTGTAAACACAGACATTTTGTATACTTCGGCCAATTTCTTCCTAGTTTTCCTGGTATCACACCATGAAACGTTACGCAAACCTCAAAGATTGATAGTCGCCAATTTTCTTTTCCTTCTTGAGACTACAATCTGATGATCACACAGACAATTAGAAAAAAAAGTTAAGCTTAGAGTCCTACTGACCTCTTTTCCTTATGGTGTATTGCTGGTTGTCACTTCCCAGAAGATTTACAGCGACGCAATAGAAATGCTCCCCTATTGCACTGACTGCAACCTTCAATACACTGGTGTCTCTCTCCTTCGTGATACTTTTCACTTTATCGCTCAATGAGCTCAGATCTTGTCCATTAAGTTGACGTTTCCATGACAACGACGGTGGAGGTTTGCCGCTGACGATACAAGTTAAATCGACTTGCTCGCCTTCATCACCAGGTATTTGGGTGCTTGTAGGGGTGGATGTGACAATGATCGGACGTGCTGTTAGAAAGAAGTTATTCTCTAGTTTATTTAAACTGTGTAAAGCATTTTTCTGATTGATAAATTTTTTCTGCTTTCTGGTGATTTACAATCAATTTTCGCAACTATGCGACCTTTGAGGGTTTTTTGGACAAACAATATTTTAGCCTGCACACTCGCTTCTTTGCCGAAAGTAAGTTAGAAGCGTTGAGCAACGCAAGAAGGCCAGCGGTCTGCAAGGCATCTGGCAAACCACTTACAGGCCTGTTACCGGCTAGCGTTGCCCAAAGCATCAAACTTATTTGCAGGCGAAAAACCGGCTCCTACTGCAGAACCAATGACGAAAGCCTGCTCGCCGGCTAATAATTTCACTGAAATTGGTTTCCCTAGTTTCAAACACAAGACACTGTTAACCGGATTTAATGATACATCAACTGCTGCCAAAGATCACATACCCAAGTTCTACATGGAAACACCATCAAAACATCTAACGAGCAAGAGAACTTACTCTGAACATTAAGAGTGATTTCTTTCCAATCCTCGCCAAGTTCATTTTTAGCCACACATCTGTAGGTTCCATCATTTTTGCCACTTGTGTTGCGTATGATGCATTGCTCACCCGAGCAATCTAAGTTATCACCTCCTATCTTTTTCCAGGTAATTGTTGGCTGTGGCACTCCCTTTGCACGACATGTCATTGTAACATTGTTTGTTTCATTAACTGTGAATGCACTTTGATAGGAAGTGATTGTTGGTGGATCTTTTGTAAAACAACAACAAAATAAGAAAGATAAGTGACAAATAAAAATTACCACTGGTGATGAAGCTATTAAAACAATTTTCCATGAAGTGCGCAACAAATCAGAGATTGCTTTGCTTTTGCTTTAACTTGCTTTGTGATTGGTACAGAAAAACTCGTGCCACTCTCTGAACCAATCAGATACAACACCAAAACCAATCACGAATTGGTCACCCACGTTTTCCCGCGCTTTAGGCGGTTTGGTTATTTTTAGTTCTTATTGGCACTCAACCCATGAACTCTTATTAAAAGTTCTCATTAGTAATTCTCCTTACTGTCTGCTGTGCAATTCTTATGATCTTAGTTGAGAGAATTCGGTACTGGATCAACTAAAACTCCCCTGATTGATATTTTTCTCTATTCTCATCATTTGTCTGCTTGATATTGTATTGATATTGTAAGGAGATATTCTGTCTTGATCACTCATGGGAGTAAAACGGTGAAAGGTATTTTCCTTACTTCTGATTGGCCATTGAAATTACTATGGTTTAGGTTTTGCAACACGCAATTGAAAAGCACTCTAAAAAAATAAATACAACTTACGCTTAATAAGTAATTGTGCTCTGGCAGGAGGTCCTTCTCCTAGAGAGTTGGTTCCAGTACAGGAATACCATCCTGCATCAGCCTGAGTCACTGAAGCCTTTGTGAAAGTTGTTGTTACGCAGGCACTGCAACTTTCTCCAGGTATGTCAACTCCATTGAACTGCCACTTTTGTGAAAGGGTGGGCGGATTGCCGATGGTTTTACAAGAGAAGGTTGCTTCTTGTCCCTCAGACAGTGTGAGGTTTTTCGGATGATCAGCATCAGACTGAACAACTGGTCGATCTGAAGATTTAAAAAAACATCATTGAAACTCTATCTCAAAAGTAAATTGATGAAATAGTCTGATACACAAAGAAAAATGCCGAGGTTACTTAATTTCACACATCAGTGACCCAAATTAAATTGGCAATGAGTAATAATCAAAGTGGATCTAGCACAAATCACTTTCAAATTCAAACGAAAATTAGACAGCTACACAAAGCAGGGGCATAAAATTTGGATTTAGCACTCTGTCAATACCAGCATTACAAGTTAGACCCTGGAATGTGATTGAGTCATGTGGCCCATTTAGTTAGAGCTTCTCCCAGTTCTGTAACATGACGCAGCTCACAAAATTGTCCCTCCCCCTAATTGAGATGCTATTCCAACTCAAGATCACCCCCTGCATTTCATTGGGCTTCCCACTGATACTCATTTATACTCTTGGGTAGAAAGAGGATCTGCAAGAGTAAAGTGTCCTGCCTAAGAACACAACATAGTGACCCATGTCAGGCTCAAGCCAGGAGCTTTTGAGGCAGATTCCAGAGAGTTGACTGTAAGGCCATTGCACATGTCACCTACTTCTATAAGGGCGAGCATGTACTAACAGTATTAAAAAGAATTGGGAAATACTCTGACTTCTAAAAGCATAATTCACAGAGTGATAGCAAAGCTGTTAATTAAAAAAAGGTATTGTTAAATAATTTAAGAAAATGAAGTACAGTATCAGTGTCTCAGTTGAACATCAACATGATCACAAGTCAATCACATTTAAAAAACATATCCGAACAACCCTTGAAGAATCAACAATTTTGCAACCGGTCTATAAGAGTTTTAATTTAACACTGCCATGTAATGTACACATACAGTGATTTTACTGTGCTAATTGCCCTCAATTATACGAATAAGGCGCAAACTGAAAAAAACAAAAACAAAAAAACAAAAACAAAAAAACAAAAAAAACCACAAGAAAACAGAGAGAAGAGACAGGACTAAATTCTGTCCACCTTTGTCTGCAACAACTGTAACAGAGATTGCCAAGTTGGAATTGGGTACTGAGGCCATACATAGCATTGCATTAAGACCAAACTCAGTATTTTCCATGATCTTGCAAGAAAAAAAAGGATGGTTGCTATCCTAACAAAAATCCCTATTCATTTGATCAAATACTTACAGCGCACTTCAAGATCTGTGGTTTGCCTCCTCTGACCAGCACTGTTGAAAGCCACACAAGAGAAAGTCCCATTCTGCTGCCAGGTTACTTTATCAATAGTAAGATAAGAAAGAGTTCTCAAAAGTTTGGAATTTTGAACTGGTGCGACTTCAGTTGTGATATTGTATGGCGTGCCAGTCAGATTTTTTTCACCCAGCTTCCAAACAATTTGAGCATATGGTTTGGCTTGAACTGTGCATGCGTAGTTCACTGTTTCATTTTCAGTCTTTGTTTGTTTGTTTGGCAAATTACTCTGGAATGATGGTGGCACTGTAAAATAAAGACAGGCAAAATGTGTTAATTAAATTAATTTTGCACAAGATAAAATCATGGCCTCACTTCATAGATTTGTAATACAAAAAAAGTAAAAGAACTTTAAATACAAAGCTACATATATTTCTGGCTGTGGAATTAGGTGAACAACAGCTTTAACATGGGAGATCAATTGCAAAAAAAAAATTAATTTTGCACAAGATTAAATCATGGCCTCACTTCATAAGTTATACTGGAAACAAAGATCAATTGCCAGGGAAATGTGCATGGGGTGTTCATTTGGCAATGGATATAATCACAGAATGCTACACATTATACCCAGAATAGTCTGGCTAAATTTCTGTGGCCTGACCTTTCTATTTATCTTTCATTTTTTGTACAGACCTAGTAAACATTTTGCTTTCACTTCATAACACAGTGAGTGTTGTCAAGGAAGACCCTGGATATACACAAGTAACCTTTACATTTTCCTGTTTTTCACTGACACCAGTTTTGCACTTTTTGACTTAACAGTTCACAGAAATCTGATGTGCCACTATTTTTGAACAAATCAGGAATTTTGCATTTATTCTGATTTCTGAAAACTGTTTTTTTCCTTCTAAAAAACTGTGGTTTTACTTCACTTATCCATGGTGGTTGTGTGTTTTGCTAGAACTACATGTATTTCTCACCTACTACATTGACTGTCAATGATTTTGATGGCCCATCTCCAAGTGCATTTCTTGGCACACAGTTGTATGAGTTATCCTCCTCAGTAAGCTGTACATTAGGAATTGTGTATCTTCCCCCTGAGGTGCCAGCCAGTATTGTTGTACCTGATGGTGTTGTACGTTGGATGGTGTAAGTTGGAGCAGGATAGCCATTTGCAGTGCAAGTAAGAGTTACACTTGTTCCTTGCACAGCATTATTGTCAGGATTCCCAGTTGTAAAGGTTGTAACAGTTGGTTTATCTGTCAATTAGTAAGAGAAGCTCAGAATCATTCTTAAATTGCATGTTGTAATCAGACACCTGTTAAGCCACTTTATCACCTGACCAACTTGATAAATTTTAACTTTTTCTAGAATGTGTATGCTTCAACCAAAATGAAAGATATTTCCGCTAGAGTGATGCCTATGAAAGATATCATCTAGTTCATGAATTACCAAGAGAAGCAACGAGTAACATTCACCCTTTCACCCCTAAAGAGTGACTAGCTCTTATGTCACACCTGAGTCAAACATTAAGGTCTCAAGAAGAAAGGAAATGATCACCAACTAAAGAACCTCTTGATTGTTTGACAAACTCTCCTTATCAAAACCTTAAGAAATGTATATAGAACAGTATGGAGAATATATATACTGATATTAACAGGGTGTAAAATGTGAATTTATAAATTGTCATCTCAAATGACTTTCAGGTCAACATGATTTTAAAATTTTTCACTGTACCACACTAGTTTGAAATAAATTTAACCTGCATCTTATGAAAGTCTGTTTCAAACTTCAAAAGTTCTTCATGGTACTGAACTTACATCTCACATTCACCAGCCTTGTTTCCTGAGCACTACCAAATGTATTTGTTGCCACACATGTATAGTTCCCTGCATTCAACACTTGGGCACTTGCAAGTTGCAAAGTGTTTTGTGAGTCTCCAATTGCTCCTCCATTAAACGTCCATGAGTAGGAGGGTTTTGGAAATCCATCAGCCTGGCATGTGAGGGTTAAGCTTTGACCAAGTTCCACAACTGCTGGATTTGGATTCACTGTGACTTGCTGAGGTGCATCTAGGATGAAAAAGAGGCAGTATGAGCTTACACCTGTCAGTGTACCAGTCTATCCTTACAGAGAACAAAAGACACAATATAGCATGCAGCAACCCAGAAATGCTTCAAACATGGAACATCTCATGCAAGGGTTTCGAAAGTAAAAGGGCAATGGGTGGACCTACCCAAATATAATGCGCTACATGTAGCTACCTGCTTGTGGCCTTCACACAAATTTGTAAGTTGTCCTCCTAATATACATGTACAGGTACAGTAATTATCTTCAAATTAACTCATATCTAGGCACATTGCAACATACCATAATGGTTTGATTTTGCACCTGCGGTGCTTTTTACTTTTATTACCTCTAGGGAGGATGCTTATTCAGAACAGAGTGCTTATAAGAAAAAAGGTGCTTATTTCTCTTTTGAGGAACAACAACATAGTGTGCCAAACAAAACTGTGATTTCAGGGAGATCAACAACACAAGAAAAAAATGTGCTTGTTTCCTTGGATCCTTCCTGGCCAGAACAACCAGCCATGCAATCTCTGAGAAATTTTGAGACAGCCTCATTACTTTGAAAAACAGTGTACTCACATGGACATAATAGTTGAGAGACTGAGTAGATGACTAATATTTTTGTAATGAAACTTTACGTAAGCAATTTAAGGAAAATGAAGCATGGTTGATCTCAATTCACATGTAATTTAACATTGCCGTCATTGAAACAGAATAGGGGCACTTAGCACTTATTGGAATAGGGGAGTTTTCATAAGGAGGTCCTCACTGGATTGAGGAAGCTTACTCAAAATGGGCACTGATTAGAATAGTGGTACTTATTGCCAAAAAAAAAAATTTAGGCTTAGTTCAGAGGGGGGGCTTATTGGAAGGAGGGCACTACATATAACCACTGTGGTAAATTGGATCAAACCTAAAAATGCAGGAAAATGAAACTGCAAGGACCTTCACCCCCAAATTTTCCTAAGGAGCCCAGACCCCCTTGGCAACAAGAGGCTCTCCAGACCTTCTCTGCCTGCTACTCTAGAGCACCCATTGGCATCAAATTTTAATTAAACCAGTATCAGTATTTGCACAGGATAGCAAAATCAGCAAACATATTTAACAAATTTACAACACGGTCCAGTTCATAACAAATAACATAACTTACAGTTGACCAATAAGAAAGCAGATTTTCTATCTCCAGCTCCAACCTCATTTGTACCATCACACGAGTATTGCCCAGCACTTCCCTTCTTAGCATTTTTGATTGTCAGTCTGCTTTGTGTATCGCTAATTTTCAAAGTTTCAAAATCTTGTGAATTGGATATCTCATTGCCATCCTTAAACCATTTGTATGTGGTTGCAGTGGGAAATGCTTCTGTGATACAAAGAAATGTGGTAGTACGACCTTCCACGACAGTTTGATTACTGCTCAAACTGTTTGTTTTGTGCACAGGACGGACTGTAAGATAAAAATATGAAAACATTAAAGGAAATCTTTATCATTGGCTTACATAAGGATTAAGTGATAGAGCTACAGTACACTTTACAGCCCTAAATGTATACTTCTGTTATAGACTGGACTTTCTATTGGTTTCCCAGCCTAATAACCCATGCAGAATGTAACAAAATCGAGAGAATTGTTTATCAATGACAAACTAAAGGTGAGAGTCTTACAAACTTTTCTTGTGTTCTTCCAACATCTTGAGTGGGTTATTACACCCAGTAAATCAGTAGAAAATTAGATAAACTGCTTTCACAAAATGAAGTTAAAACATTTCAATTTTCTATGGGTTTAAGGGTGCAGTAATCATAGTTTTTTCCCCAATCAATCAGCACTTATAATATCTCAGTTATTTACCCCTTTAACTCCCATGAGTGACCAAGACAGAATTTCTCCTTAGAATATCAATACAATATAAACCAAATAAATCATAAGAATAAAGAAAAATATCAATTTGGAGATAATTAGTTGATCCAATACTAAATTATCTGAACTAACTTTTTAAGAATTGTATGGTTGACAGTAAGGAGAATTACAAATTTGATCTGGGAGTTGAAGGGTTCATAAACAGGAATAGTCACAATTTTCAATCTTTCTCAAAATTACCTTTACATGAACAATTGACAAAATGATCCCATGAACATGTAGAAAATGTTTTAACAGATGTCCTGGGAGATAATGTTCAGGGCTGACTGTCAACGGCATTCATTCTTTGTATAACAGGTATCATAAAATGTCCTCATAGATAAAAATTCAACTAAAGAACCACATCATTTTGACTTTTAACTGAAGTATTGTGAAAATGTGGTTGGTTTTGAAATTACAGAACACACCAAAAAAAGAAATTAGGTGAACTTGAATTCAATCCTGGACTCACAAGAAACAGACTTCTGAAAGTTCAAAACCTCTTCTACATGTTACTATTCATGCATGTCTTTGTTGGCCATTTCAATCTGAGAATTGTCCCTGATCCCCTCTAAATAATGTATATCAACTGTACATGTATGTCGTCCAATATTTATTGCATTCAGTCTTGGATATACATGTACATTTTCAAAAGATAAGTACACATGCGATTGTTTGTCTCACAATGTGGTCACTATGCTCGTGGATCGTGATGTTTGAATTGCATACTGCTTCTCTTTTTTAGGCCATGAGGGAGATTGTGTAATTGCATCACCTATCAACTGTTGTGCTCAGCTGTGACTTTTTTTCTTAGCAGTTTATCACACGTTTCTTTGCTGGGCATTTCTATCAATTTGTAAGCTGGTAATTTCCTCAGTCTTACTACCCATCTATTTAACATTGTCAGTATCACAATAGTAAACAAAATGTATGAAATAAACTATCCAGGGAAAAGAATAAAAGTAGGTATTGTGAGTTGACTTACATCTAACTGTAACCTGAACAGTGTAAGAGTCACTGTACTGGCTAAGAGTTGGAACATTAACAACAGCTTCACATTTGTACGTCCCTGCATCATTCCTGCTGGCTGATGTTATTGTGTAGTTGGAGTTATTTGGATCTTCCGGAATCTTTACATCATCTTTATACCACCTGTAAGTGGGTTTGGGGTTGCCACTGGCCACACAAAACAATGTTCTTGTGGCACCTTCATCCAAAGTTGGAGCTGTTGTAGTTTTGAGTGTAATTGTTGGGCTCACTGTGTAAAACAATGAATTTTTATTAATACAAAGGTCAGATAATCATGGGATTATTACAGCATCCTAAAATATTTTTGAATTACCAGATAGAAAAGTTTTAATACTGGGGTTCAAATCTGTCCTAAAGCCTTGACACACTTGACAATTTTCATATTCTTATTGCAGTGATCAGCAAAAATTACCAAGTGTGCTTGACACAACAATGGCAATTTCCGTGGATTGCTATGATGGGCATGTAGGATTGCTGATACCTGGCATGTCAGATATCACTGATTTTTGCTGGTAATCAAATTGGCTGCGTGCAATCTGTGGAAAAAATCACCAAGTGTGTCACCAGCTTTAGTTCAAAAACATCAAAACTAAGAAATATTTGTGCCACCAATATTAATAGTAATTTAACTTAGTTCAAGAACTTACCAACAACAACTAGTTTAGCAGTATCCTTAATCACAGGAGGGACACCAGAAGTGAAAAACACTTGACAATCAAAATCACCATTGTCCTTTGTCTGAACATTGGATATTCTAAGTGTTGCATCCCCTGATACCTGATATTGTGAATTGAGAACAGAGACTGGCCCACTTGATGGTTTAGTAGCAACCCAAACATTATTGTGAAACCACATTATTTGAGAGACTGTTTTCCCATTTCTGTTGAAATTCCAAGACAAGGAAGCAGATTGACCCTTCAACTGATACTCAGGACTGTTTGGTTTACTTGTGAAACTTTGACTGTCTGGAAATATACAAAGGAAGAAAAAAGAAGTTTTAATGACTGTATAAGGATAAAAGACTATCAAGAGAAATTTCCAGCTTGCTTTATTCAAAGCTGCCAATTAGGAACTCAAATCTCAAAACATGGTTAGTAGAAAATTTTGATCGTTTTTTTTTTAAGATGGAGATGACAGTTTTTAAGAGTTGGAGCATTCTTCTATTTTAACCTTTTAACTCCCATGAGTGACCAAGACAGAATTTCTCCTTACCATATCAAAACAATATCAAGTAGACAAGAGATGAGAATATGGAAAAATATCAATTAGAGTATAAGTAGTTGATCCAATACCAAGTTCTCAGAATTAAAATCTTAGAATTGTATAGCAGGAAGTAAGAGAATTACCAACAAGATCTTAGACATGATAGGACAAAAAGAAGATGAGAAGCACTCAGGAAGTTTACCGAGCTTGAAAGATTTGTAAGAGTTGCTGCTTACATAGGTGAAAACAACTCTAACCTCCTAACAACAAAGAACTGTCTAAGACTTTCCAAGTGCTTTTTATTTCAATGAAGACACTTTTAATTTAATAACATCCTCAACATGGTATTTTAAAAGTTGTACCGAGAGAAATTGCCTCTACTACTAGTACACTTTACTCTTTAATTTTATTATCAGCAAGTATATTGGGAAGATGAAGTGGGCTTGCTTATCAAAATATTCCCAAAAAGAGAGCCAGTCATTTTGGAATGAATTGGTGGAATGGAATGGGTACCCTGTGCCACATTTCAACCATTTATGCAAGAATAGTGGATGAATGAAATATGTCCCTTCAGCTTTACACAGAGCAAATAAAACTTGCTAAAGCAGACTTGAATGAATCTTGCACTGATGTAGCATAATGATCAATTTCTACACAGCCTACAAGAATTACCCAAACATTGAATGGTTTGCAATCCTGGATTTACTTTAATCAGATTCCAAACTTAATCAGTTAATATCATTAGAGCATTTGTAACAGCTGCACAGTCCTTGTTTTAAGTGTTTGATAAAATGGTTTCACTTAGTTGGCTTCCCAAGTAGCAGTTGTACAGGCATGAAAAATAAATTACATTTTGTTATAAGCGGTTCACTGGTCACCAAAGCCGATGGCAAGTGATCCGTTGCTTTCATTGCTCAACTTTTCTGTATGATAATAACTTTCATCATGAATAACACTCCTGTTTGGTTTACGTTGGAGCAAGACTATTTTGAAATCAAACTGGCCGTACACTTTCAAATCAGCCAATATATAATTATTCGCCCAATTACTCCTCATTTGCTCAATTTATCGTTATCGTTACAAAAGCACGGTGTATGACGAGTTTACAATATAAGACAAGTACAAAATAGACTTGATGTAAATTCGCTGCAAGTTTGAAGAAGACTTAGTGAGATGCTCTTGAATCTAAAACAAACAAATAACTGCTGGGCAATACATTCAAGATAAACCTAAGTAAAATGTGCTGAAATTAAGAATAATTTTTAACAAACTGGAGGAGATATTAGCGCATAATATGCTGAAATCCGTTATCTGTGGCTTGTAACAAGCTTATATATTCGAAGTAAGATTAGATGGGAGAGCCGAAACCTATACAACGCAAATGACATGAAATATTGAGCTAACAATGTAAGGCTTTACCTAAATAGTCAACACAGGTACAATAATTTACTCCCTTAACACAGAGTTCATGTACGTGTGATGTTAGCAAGTTACCAGCCACGTTCACGATTGTTTTTGGTCTAGCATGCCTCTAATCGAGGTGTACTTAACAGCGACGGCACCCTCAAATAGGGCTCATCAAAATGACAAGACAAGCAATCATTATAATTCCTAACTTCCGATCAAAGCAATTTATTTACTTCTCAATTTTGGAACTACTGAAAACTCCAGAGAAACTTCGCGATTGCATAAACATTCAAACTCATCGAAGGTCGAGTGCAGTACACGAATCGTGCGTATGTTATCAATATTACTCACCTACAAACCGCAATCCACCGATAGATAACAAAGCCACGAGTCTAAAATACACCATAAACATCTCTATCACCGTTTTATGGTCCTAACAAGACTTTCGAAAATACGTTTGAACGTCACTCTCGATTCACCGATGCATGTTTTGCACCATTTTCAGGAAACAGGGAAAACAATGCTTATCAACGGTGGATGCCGAAGAGAAACCTCGTGACCAATAAGAGAGCATTCTGGAAGTCATGTGATCCGTATTCGAATGACCTCAGCATTGTGGGAGTGAAAATGATGGATAAAAATAACAGTGATGAGCAAAATTGAATGGAATCTTTGGAATGACCACTTAATAAATTTATGACTCGCCCGGAGGAAATCGGGTAGGATTTTACAACCACGGTCACCAAATTAACGCTTTTAATCGTCGAAAATATTACAATGGACAAATGAACATTTACACTCAAGTTTTGTATTGAACACGGAGATTTCACGCGATGAAAACAGTGATCTTACAGGCGGGAAAGATTGCGTGACCAGGTATTTGGACAAGTCTGTAATATTACAAGTAATATTGCGACAGTAAAGAAAGTAGAATCCAACGGTGTCTAATATTGTATAAAGTTCGTTTTTCTTCTTTTTCTAATCGGCGTTTTATGTTTACAATCTTAGGGCTCTAGAGATCAGGGCAAGATTAACATTTGTATTGTCGGCCTGATCGCGACTAAGGGAGATTTTCCATAAAATTTTCATGCACTTTCAAGCGGAGAGAGGATAAGAATACAGCGAAATACTAAATAGCGGATGTTGTTGAATTTAGAAAGCTAATTTTAGGGCTAAAATTATTAATGGTTTATGATGGATTGACAAAAATTATTTGTTAGCCGTGAAAGGGTCAATGGTTTCTCATTTTGGACTCGTGGCATTTAGTTGACAGATTAGCCGAATGTTTCTGTACAAAAGAAACATCATTGACCGATCACGAATTATTCCGGAAACCTACGCAAATTTTAGCGCATTTCTAGAAACAGTGTCCCGGAAACCTAAGCAATTATTTAGCACGTTTTTAGACACGGTGTAAGGTGCGAAATTCATCACGTCCCCAATCACGAATTGTTCCGGAAGCCTGTAAGATTTTCTGGCATTAGCAATCAAGGATCTGAAATATACCTTAATACAGGTCAATAGGATGAGATAAGGTGCTATTACGTCTTGAATTACTGATTAGCCAATTTATTCTACAAGATGGAAGCTGATAAGGCAGTCGTCCCGCCATAGCTGCATAGACCTTCTTCCCCGGGAATCCTCTAGCACGCTCATTAAAACAAGCAAACAACAAACAAAAATCTACCACTGCTGATATTTTGAACCTCCGATATTTCTTGATTCATAAACAAGTGCCACAGCGATTTTACAAAATTTGCAACTTCCCTCTCCACCCATTTTTTCGGGTGCGTCAGTCTTCTGCGGCATTCAGTAAAGTACAGGATTATGGTAGATCTAAAATGATTGTGATGCCAGCTATCTATCCGATTTTTAATCGGCTTAGCTTATTTAACTGCTCGTATTTTCCTGATTTCGTTAACTTAGTTCCAGAAAAAATAATTTTATTCAAAATGTTTTTGCTGAGTTGGGTTCGACTCAAAGCTGGCAGACGATACGGATTGATACTCGCGATAAGTTCAGTGACTTTCGATTCTACTCGTGACCCTTCGGTGCTTTGTCCCGTTCGGTCGGTCATCGATCAAAGACGAACGTCGCACTCGTGTTACAGTCGTTTGCAGTGTCTGCGTTTTACTATCGGGTGTAAGATCAGACAATTTCTCGCAGTCATCGTCTGCTCTGAGATGGGAATGGTTTTCTGAAAGTAAAAGATGAGGAAAACCGTGCACTTCTAAGAGACGTGAACAATCCAAGAAACAAAGCCGTGAAAGGGAAGAAAAAGTTCTACCGGGTTCATGGAACCTTGCCTACCGAAAAGGCTGTTTCGGCCATAATTTCGCGATCGTCATTTAGAGATGAATTTCTCAACGATATATTGCAAATTCTAGATATCCAGGGAAAACGCTGGCAAGAGGAATATGTGATGCCAAATGATCTAGATTTAATTGTAGTCTACGTTTTGACCTATACAACAAAAAACTATGATCAAAGTTTCAAATTTTACGAAATCATTACGATAACACAGCAAAGATACATATTGAGTAAATCAACATTTATTTGGAAAATTCTTGTACCACAAATTAACTTGGTTGAAAAATTGTGGATGGCAAGGTTAAGCTTAACATTCCAACTATCTAAAATTATAAAGGGGTAAGTTTCTAAAGAAACTGTGGTGCTGCGTCGGTGAGGAGGTGTAACAAGATCATTTGGTTGTAAATAGAATAAGAGAGATAGTAAGTTTTGAGCTCGGTAGAGAAATAAAAAAAGATGTTTTTCGTCTTGTCACGAGGGCGGGACCAAGATAAAATTCTAAGGCGTAGTTCAAACGTCGATCTTTACATGTACCGAACCTAACGTTTCTATTAAGTACATGTAAAGATCGACGTTTGAACTAGGCCTAAGTCCCCACGAGGAATCGAACCTCAAAGCTTCGGATTCCGCGCTCCGATGTTCTTCCACTGAGCCACAGAGACTCTGTGGTGAGCGAGGCCTATTATGGAGTTTTCAAAATAATTTGGTGTTATCAACTCAACTGAGTTGATAATGTAAATTGGCCACCGCAAAGAGTTTCAGATCTGACGTTTTGAGCGCAAACCCTTCGTCAGCCCTTTCTGATCCAAAATTTTATTCCTATTTGTACTTGCAGTATTATCTAATTCATTCTTCTTCCAGACTTAGTCAACTTCTAGCATGGAGCATTCTCATTTGCCCTCACTTATAAAAAATAAAATTCAGTGTTGGGGGATGCGATGCCAAACGGGGTTCTTGTCAAAGAGTTGGAACTCTTCGTCACACAGATCGATTTCCTTCCTCGTGTGAACTTTGTTGCACCTGAAAAATCCGATAATTTACTCTAAGAGAGAATGAAGCTCGGAACATTATCTTAACTTCAATCGACAGACAAATTCCTCTTGAAAATAACGCAAAATTACTATTTTGTCTCTCTGCCTCGTCCTTGATACCTTTAAACGAAAAAGTGAAGCCACATAACAATTTTTAGGTTCATTTCAAACAGTTGCTGACGTCGGATCAAAAAGCAAACATGAGCAAAACATAAAAAACATTACACTTGTAACTCTCTCGAGAGATAACGTAATCTAAAATTTGCGTAAAATCACTGATTTCCAAGCTTGTCATTTACAATCCAATTTCAATTTCCTCCACCCGTAACCAGTCATGTTCCTTTTCAGATCATTCGTACCTCTATAAACTATTATATTAAAATATTTCCATCTACTTATTGAATTTTTTAACGTCTTGACGACTTAAAAATGTTTTGAGGTAGCGGATTTCTTTCAGGAATCAGCCTGCAGCCACATCATGATATGTTGCTGAATTTGGTGCCTGGCCTCCACCAGCTGTGGAGGGTCTGACGGATTAGCTGGATACATGTTGGCGCAGTGAGCAGTACCTAGAACATTAACAATAAAATAATGACAACTTTCAGTAACACAAACACGAAGGACCAGTTATAATTTATTACTTAAGGGAGGTGGAGGTGAGAAAGATTTTGGGAGTCACATGGTTTTCAGGGGGGAACGGAGAGGGGTCAGTCTTTGCCAAAGTATAAAGGAGGATTAAACAAAATTTACTCCCAAGTACCTGCCTATGAAGGAAAGGGGGAGGGGAGGGTATAAGAATTATGCAGAACTATTGGGGGGGATCAGGTAAATTTTACTTTGACAGTATAAAAATCCTTCGACCCCGCACGTGAAAAATGCTGACATTACGGTGACTTTTCTCTAAGGTTTCATAGCGTCTACTTTGGAAAGAAAAACGCACCTATAGCTGGCTGTTTTTTTAATTCTCCCACGCTAAAATACTTATCTCTCTTGGCTTCACAGAAACTGATGTAAACACTGATCTCCACCAGAATAAAGGAAAAACCTTAAAGATACGTTATAGCAAAACCAAGAACAACTATCATAACAAAAAAACGTGCTGACAGTTTTTCGAATGCATGCATATGGCTAAACGCGTATTGCACCTTCTTTTACACACCTTCAATAAAAACGGCTTGTTCTGTAGCAGACACATCCTTTGTTATACCAAGTGCATGCCACGGATCGATGGAGCCATTCGGGAAAACGATCTGATTTACAGATTAACAATATAGAAAAATACCATTTTCACATATAACACTCTGAGAAACTGCACAAATGAAGAGTCTGGAGGCTAGTTAATTGTTAAGTTTTCGAGTTAGCCTCCCATTGACCAGGTGTTGGGAAAAACACAACACTGGAAATGATCCTGCAAGGATCCCTCGACCTGGAGTCCAACGCAGTAACCGCTTAGCAACCGCGTCTTCCGAAGCATAATGGTCACAAAAAATGAAATTCAAAATTTGTTCCACAATAACATCAACTGTGATCTTCTTTAAGGATACGGGAAAACGATTTTTGGTGTCTTTGAGACATTTGTGTGAGAGACCAATTGATCTGAGTTGCATGTCAACTGACCTTACTGGCGGCAATGCCATATCCTCCGTAGTTAGTATTTGTCTGAGTCACACCGCTTTGGATGTTCTCTTCATTAAACTGGGCACCATAAATATCCATGCATTGTTGAATTGAATACCTGAAAAAAAAAAACATTTAGAACATATGTCTTGATAAAGACAGTATTGGAGAACAGGTAGGCGATGTTATGTTTGTGAGATACTATATGTCCAACAGAAAAACACTGAGGAGAACAGTAAAAGTTGTTTTTCTCTTGACAACAACGTTTGGCGTCTTTGATACATAAATGGATCTGATTGTGGGGGAAAGAGTTCGTGACGCGCTTTTCGATTGAGCGTCAAAAAACCAAAAGCAAAGCTGTCGCAACAGCTAATCAGAAGAAAGGAAAATACCTTTACGAGCCAATGAGAGCTCAAGTAAAAGCAAGCTAACTACCTAAAGTGCGGGAAAACGCGGGCGACCAAGTCGTGATTGGTTTTAATTTTGCATTTATTTGGTTGAGAGAGACTGGTGCGGGTGTTGTAGACCAATCACAGAGCGAAACCAATGCAATTTGGATAACTTCCCAACACTCAATTGAAAATTAATCCATTATATTTTTAACTAGCAGTCATTATTTTGAAGCCAGGACATTTAGGTGCGTTGAGAGGAATTTCTTTCAAGCACACCGAGATTCTATCTTGATATGATGTGTGTCTTTGTTTTTTTCGGTAAATACTGTACTGCTATCATGTACATACTTCAAAGGGAATAGATCTCCAAACGGCTGCTTCTCAGAGTCTGAGGTCTGATAAAACCCAAATTCTGTGCATGTCTGATACATCCATTGGCGACCTGGTTAACAACATAAAAAAACTTTTCACAAAATAAGATAAATAAAGAACCAAAATAACACGACTTTTGTAAATATTCTTCTTTAAAAAGAAAAGCGCGAAAACACACAACTTTCGTGCGCTGTTTTCGGGTATTTTTGAAGTTCTCCACTTCGATCTCAGTGTTAAGAGGGAAGCATAGCAAAGTCGCCAGAAATAAAAATATTACTCGTCAGAAAAAAAAACATTCGTAGGACATACATGTAGCCAAGAAAAACGTTTCTTAAGTTGTAGTAAATGACGACCATTGGGGCGGCTGTCACATTTTTTCTCGAGAGAACGACATCTTCCCTAACTTTTTTCGGAGAAAAAAATTAAAAAAAGACATCTGAGAAATTACGCAAATGCTTATCTCACGTAACTCGGGACTAGAGACATCACGCAATGAGGACGTTACAGCTTTCTATGTAACCGCCGAACACAATTCGGCAAATGCGCGACTTTCTGCGCAAATTTTTAGTCGCCATTTTCCCCCTCTCGCCATGGCGACCAAGATAGTCGCAACTTAACTAGAGCGCTAATTAACTCTGTACAGCATGTGAATATTTTAAAATTTCATGATGAGTTTACCTCCTTCAGATGCACTGCTGCTCCAAGATGTGTTCTGTAAAGCTGCTATTAAATTCTTGTAGTTTGAATCAAGGCATTGTTCGTGGTATGTGTGAAGCATCAGCGAGTTCACTTTAGCATAACGAGCTAACGGAGCTCCGATGCCTTCGTCATTCATGATGCCACACAATGTTCTAATTGTAATGTTAGTACCGATGGCACCCTTAAAAAAAAAGCATCAGAGTAGAATTATAACATTCGTCACGCACCACTGCAATGGCTTAAACTACAGTTAACTTACACCAATCTATTGTAAGTAGATCGATTAGAAGCTTCCACTTCCCCCCCCCCCCAAAAAAAAAAAATTCGGCCCAAAACTGCGTTCAAATGCCCACTCGATATTGAACGGAACGATTATTTTCTGTGACTGACGAATGTTGTAAAATTTAGCAAGATCATTTATTAGGTTCTAGTGTTGCTGTTGGATTTTTTTCGCTTGAAGGCATCATCCTATGATGTGAATATTGTCTTTCTAAGCCATTCTCTAACAAAAGCAGACTCTTCACCTGTAAACTCCTCAATTACATCATGTGTATCATGCTGGAAAGGCCTGATACTTCCGGTTCAAATGCCCCACCCCACCCAGGCAAGTTCAAATTCCCTACCCCCCCCCATGGGCTGCCCAAGAGGAGGGATGTTGAAACTTCAGATTGATTCTTTAACCCCTTGGAGTGACTAGTATCTAATTTCTCCTTTTATCAATAAAGGGCAAAATTACTGAGCGCTGATTGGTTGAGAGAGAGGGCATTTTTTCTTAATCGAGGGCATTTTTAGTAATCAAGAGAGGGCATGATTACCTGTTAATGATTGGCTAATCCGTTGCATAGCAACCGTTCGTTATCTTGAAATTTGTTAAAAATAGACTGCGCGTGATTTTCCTTCGTATAAATTTTGCCCTTTATTGATAAACAAGTAATCCCATGAGACCTCGTACTATTAAGGATAAATTGCACTTGAGTTTTCAAAATTTTCCAAATTGCCCTTGTCGCTTTGCGACTCGGGCAATTTTGGAAAATTTTGAAAACTCTCGTGCAATTAATCCTTAATAGTACTTGGCCTCATGTGATTACCTATACAAATCAACTCTGAATCAGACATACAGGTCACAAGAATAAAGGAAATGACCACCAACAAAAGAAGGTCCTGATTGTTACATAAATTCTCTTTGTCGGCACCTTAGGAAATGTATAGAGAACAGTATGGAGAAGGTGTATACTGATGTTAAGGTGTAGAGGGTAAAGCAGACAGGTAATGAGACCAAGAAAAATGTCAAAGGAGAGATATAACTTGATTTAACCCTAAATTCTCAAAACAACATCATAAGAAATGTATGACCGACAGTAAGGAGAATAAATAAAAAGGGCTTGAGAGTGAAAGAACTAATCAGCTTAACTGACCTCAAATGCCCTGTTATCCTTGTTATATTGAACAACACCAGCAAAATTTCCAGACAAATCATTTGCAAAAGTTGCCACGTCATTGATATTGTCTTTATCAAGTGGTTCACAGAGCCTACGAGTAAAATGAAAATCAATTAACCCTTTAACTCCCATGAGTGACCAAGAGAGAATTTCTCCTTACAATATCAATACAATATCAACCAGATAAGTGATGAGAATAAAGAAAAATATCAATTTGGGGATAATTAGTTGATCCAATACTAATTCTCTCGACTAACATTTTAAGAATTGTATGGTTGACAGTAAGGAGAATTACAAATTTGATCTGGGAGTTAAGGGGTCAAGGTAATTGAATACAGTTTATAGGGTCATAAACCAAATATTTTGTATGATCACTGATGCTTATTATGAGGGAAGTTACAGCAAATATACCTGACAACAAGTGTTTGTAATTTTATCATGTTTGTGTCAGAAATAACTCAAAACAAGGTTGCTGAGTGGCTGACAGTGGACAGTGAACAGTGGTTCCTTTGAAAGTTTCACTCAAAAGTCACCCATACTATCCTAACTTACTGTTTCAAATTTGGAACAAAATGAAAATTACTGCAAGTTAAGCATGTTCAAGGCTTAGTCCATGCTCAGATATCGTCAGTAATGAAAATGAAATCATGACAAAAAATCCAAATACAGGAAATTTACTCACTCAAATAGCTCTGTGAGTTGCTTTGCACCTTCCTCAGTGGTTAGTAATGCCTGCATTGTTTTTGTTGCATTATCAATATTTCTCACACAGTCTTGTCCTGTTGTTTCAAGTGAGGCAGTAACAACATCCATGTATTGAGGAAAGTTGACTGTGGCAAAGACAGGAGCACTTGAAGCAACAGCCCCTACAAAGAAAATGCAAAATACATGTACACATGACAGAAATACTTCACTTACTTGTTAAAATTCAGAAAGTGGTTGAAATATGTGGATCACAATCAATTTGTTTAACCCTTTAACTCCCAAGATCTCATTATTAATACTCATTACTGTCTGCCAAATGATTGTAATTTTGTTAGTTTGGAGAATTTGGTACCAAATCAAGTAGTAATCTTACAATTTATAATTTTCTTTATTCTCATCCCTTGTCTGCATGATTAACAAATAGATTCCAAGTTCTTACCACATTTTGACGTCCTCTGTGATCTATTACTGAACAAATGCATGGCAACTTGGAATCTATTTGTTTTATATAATAAAGAATTGAAAAAAGTTTTAATGATGACGTCATCTATACGTCTGTCCTCCAATAGATCATGAGTGAGAACCAATCAGAATGCATGCATAACTGAGCTTGTTGTATAACATTGTATAGATACAGCAAGGAGAAATTCTGTCTTGGTCACTCATGGGAGCTAAAGGGTTAAATGACTGACTGAGGCATGGTGCATGTTCTTGTTGGTAAATGGGTAGGTGTAGATGGAGATATGTTAAAATGATGGTGATGTTTCAGATCTATGCATACTCTGACAAGTATGATATAAAGACAACTAACCACTCTTCTTTCTGGCAAACCTTTTGAAACCAATTATGGTCAAGAATTTTGTTATAGTTTTGATTAACTTAGTAATTTGTCCAGAGACTTCTGAAATGACTTGACTTAGTCCATTGTTATCACAAGCTTCTTCTAGTTTGCCAATGTTTTGCTCAATGCAAACATAACAATGTGATTACATTTTATTAGTTATGGTTTTATCATATAAATTCAGTAATGACAGTAAAACAGTCTGAATAAAGGGGGTACGTTTCTAAAGAAAGTGTGGTGCTGTGTCAGTGGGAGAGGACAACAGGGCAGTTAAGTATTATCAATAAGTTGAAAGTGTAAATTGGCTACCATAAAGAGTTTTAAAGCCAAAGTTTCGAGCATTATCCCTTCATTAGAGCAAAGGGCTCTGACAAAGGGCTAACCTACAAAACGCCAGCTTTGAAACTCTTAAAAGAGGCCAATTTACGTTATGAACTCAGTTGATAATACTAACTTACCCAGTGAAACAGTCTACCCACCCTGCACCAGATGTGGATACTTGAGTCTGTACCAGGCTGATAATGACCCAGGGTATGAGCCACCAAATGATATCCATTTGCTGTTTGTCAGATTAAACTTCAAAGCCATTTCCTGACAAAATGTTGCCAGATCTGCCAATGCTTGTTCACTATTTAGATACTTAAGGCTTGAATCACTCATATCACTGGAAAAATGGAGAAAAAAATTTGCATCAGTGGCTTTTTTGATAATTTTTCAGGTGAGGGTAAAATTGCCCAAAGCCAGTTACAGTGTAGAGGGAGGTCCATGTTTAGTTTTCAGGTAGGGAGGCCCTTGCATCCGCAATTTGTGTTTCAACCAAAAAAGTTGAGTGGATACTGTATTTCTTTGCTCTCTAATATGCTCCGTCCCCCAAATAAGCACCCACCCCCCAAACAATAACTTCAAACAAGCATCCCCCTCAAATGACCCCAATGCACCCTCACTTTCCTGAAGAGTAGGAATACAAGGTAAACCTGTTTCTACTGCCACTTTATTCAAAACTTTTTAAGCTTCATATATTAAACAGAATCAGTACAAGAGAACAATGATGAAGTACCCTCTTCCCAATAAGCACTCCTCCTTTAAGCTAAAATTTTAAATAAGCACCCAGGTGCTAATCCAAGAAAATAAGGCAAATAACAAGATGTACCTAACCCTTTAACTCCCAGGATCTAAATGTTAATTCTCCCCACTACTTGCTACACATTTCCTTGTAAATAAGTTGTGAGAATTTGGTGTGAGATCAAGATAACAACCTCTAAATGATAAGTTTGAATATTCTCATTACCTGTCTCTTGGATGATATAAGGATATTCTGGGGAGAAGTTTCATGTTGATCATTTCTGAGAGTTAAAGAGTTAATCTTTCAGTTTTGAGAGATATACCACCTCTGCCCCTCCCTCAAGGCCTACATGGGACATGGCCAACAAGCTACATGCTCAAGGCCTGCTTATAAGAAAACCCAAACCAATTCATGACTAGGCTGTTCAAATTTCTCCTCACTTCCTGGTAGGTATCAGCTGTGCAAGTCAGTGTGCTGTAAACTGGGAAGAGAGGTCCAGATGACTACCATTTCAAGTCATGGTGATGTATTAGTGGGCAAGAGATTTTAATCTTGTAGTATCTCTCTCCACTCAGGAAGCCCCAAAAATTACTGACTGGGGGGAGGGGGGAGGGATAATCTATGATGGATTGACATCTAATTTAGGCAGGAGTGGCTATTCACCTGGTCACTTCACACTTCAGGATCCAGATAAACCTTGATGAGATAGACTACTATGCTTGAGTGCAGACTTTATCTTTTACCATCCTTTTTCTGTTATCAGTTTCCTCGATGGGAAAGAAGAACCCTCTAAAATTTGCCCCACTCTCCCAAAGTATGACTTTGTAGCTCAGTTGGTAGTAGTGCGGTGCTAGTGTCTGAGAGGCATGAAGTTAATTTAATTAAATCCTGTCAAAGTCTCAATTTTCCCAAGCTTCTTTTTTGCAATTGCTGAAATTGCAGTCCACCTGCGAGAATGAGTGTCATTTTCCTCCTTTCAAGTCCTTTAACCTCTTAAAGTGATTAGCATCTAATTTCTCCTTACAATATCACACCTGAATCACACATTAAGGTCACAAGAAAAAAGCTTATGATCACTAACTAAAGAAGCTCTTGATCGTTAAACAAATTCTCTATATCAGAACCTTAGGAAATGTATGAAGAACACTATGGAGAATATACATACTGATATAAGTGTGTAAAGGGGTAAAGACCTTGGTACATAAATACTTCACTATTTGTTTACAGTTAATCAAAAGTTTACACAATCCTGCAAATGTTCTTCCCTCGCTTACTCACCTCGTTGGGTGACTTTCGCCGTAAAATCTATGCTCTAAAAGGAAGGTAAAAGCACCAAAATCTTCAGCATTCTTCATCATATCCCCCACAGTCAGCCATATAGGGTTCGCCGTTCCTTCTCCACCGATCATAACGAAAACCGGTCCATCTGGTTTCGTGTGGAAGGTGTCGTTATAAAAGAACCTCTGCTGCCAAGTTTTTGTATTGGAGTCATCAAAGTGATCCAACCTCTGAGTAAACCAATGTGCTTCAGGAAGCTTTTGATTCACGTGTTCTGCTGCAGGAGCAACTAACATGCCACCTTTCGGTCGGCCACGGAGAAATCGCAGCGAAGCATGGGAGCAGTTAGTTAGTCCAAGAACAACAGTGAATATCAAGCAAAGTGAGGCACTCGAGGTATATGGCATGTTGCTTGGAGTTGGTGCAAAACTGAAAGGTTGCTTCAGCTTTTAAAGTGTTGTGACTTGTCACAGGGATATCACGTGAGCGCGCTATTATGATGGCTAAAATTACCCCAGACTTGCCAACTTTCTCGTGTCACGTCGTTCGACATCGCTGCGTCACGCAACTAACCCTGTGGATTTGTGTAGCGCACAATAAAACTTTGTCGAACATTGAAATATAGAAAAATAATGTCTATGGATGGGTAAAAATCAGTTAGGAGGGAACACAGAGGAAAGAGGGAAGGGATTGGTGTTGATTTTGGTAAAATTTTGCAATGTATGGACACCTTATTCGGTGCATTCGATGGTACAGTATGCGCGGATATTTTTGCGAGTTACGTAGTATTTTTCTGAGCTCCCTCATTGGCGAGAAAAAATCGGAGCAGTGAGCAAATTTTCCGCTCATATTATATGTTAAACCATTCAAGGACGAATATATTATTCCGCAATTTTATCTTTTTAAAGTATTTTGGCCTCCTTCAAAACAAGCCAACTGGGAGCCGGTCAATGTGTTGGGTCCAAATGAACCATCCAAGTGATGAATGATGATTTTAGGTATATGAAATTCATATATTTGCACGGCGGTGAAGAAACGAAATTAAGAGATCCTCGCAGCTAAGAACACTACTGAACTAGTAATTGAAAATAGGACCTGAAAAAAAACTACTTTTCAACTAGAAGTTCAGTAGTGTTCTTGGGCTGCGAGGATCTCTTAATTTCGTTTCTTCACCGCAGCGCAAATATGTGAATTTCACATATCTAAAATCATCATTCATCACTTGGATGGTTTATTTGGACCCAACACATTGCTCAGCTCCCAGTTGGCTTTTTAGCTCAGTTGGTAGAGCGCACCGGCATCGCAGAGGTCATGGGTTCAAATCCCGTACAGGCATGAATTTTTTTCAGGTCCTATTTTTAACAACTACTTCGGCAGTGTTCTTAGCTGCGAGGATCTCTCAACTTCGTTTCTTCACCGCAGTGCAAATATATGAATTTCATATATCTAATGTTGTTTCTTTTTCCTCCATATTTTATATTTTTGCGTTGTATTACAGTGGTGTGTACCATAGCGTACTTTGCGCATTCTGTCTGTTCCCTTATATGGTGAGATGACGGAATAGTGGAATAATTAAGCACTTGTGATACCCAAGACATATCAAAACTATTTGTAGAGCACGAGGTAAACACATTTATATTTACTGTAAACAAAAGGATAAAACGCTAATTTCCTACCCGGCTTTTATATGGGAGCTAGGAAACTTAGCAAAACCATTGAGTTTTGCTTTTGTGTTTTTTTTTTCGCCAGAGGAAATAGTCGAAAGACCTTGAAACTTACAAAGCAAAGAGACGAAGCGCGGCTAGTTAGCCATTTGCTAACTTAATTTGTGAGAGCTCCGCCGTTTTTTTTTTGCATTTTAAAAATACAATTAGGGCCTTCTCGTGACAAACCATTCTCGCCTTGATGCATACTTCGTCACATTTTCTAAGGTACTGGGCTCTCAAGGAACTCCGCTCTTTCGATGAATCTTCAAAACAGCTCGTCAAAATTTACTTCTTTAAAAAGCACTATTTGTCTGTAGAAGTTCAACTAATCCCTCACGAGGCGGCAAATGGCGCCCAGCAGGGCCTCTTTCTCATCGTATTATTATTATTATTATTATTCGTCTCTTATTCTTTCCCTTGGGTCAATGAAATAAGCGCAAATAAACGGCCACCCGTGAGCTCACCGCTGGCGGCGATGCAAGTGGAAATAAGGCATATGAAGATGAGGAGCGGAGGAATTAATTTTTATTGTATTTCAATTTGAATTAACCACGCATTTAAATTGCTTATTGACCGTCAGAACATGCCATCGCATTGCGTGACTGCATGGTCCTATCCAACAAACGAAAACCGCATACAGTGGTCACTGAGGACTCAGCGTTAGTACTTACATTTCACTCTTGACCCTTCGTGAATAACACGGAATTCCTCGCTTTCCGACCGTGCCTCGAACGGAAATATTCGCTTGTCGCGAACAAAGTTTTAACAGACTTGTGATGCACTGCACGTACCAACGGTAAATCAGCAGGATCGAGTCACTCTGCATTTGAACGATTAATTCAACTGAAAGAATAGCCAAGCGTAACTCTTCTTCTCCCTTTGCTACAGGCAAGGCAAAAAGAAGGGAAATTGAACTCGGCTTCGCACTAGCAATGCCTAATGTGCTGACATGGAGGTTGATAAGATTAAAAACTTAACTCCTCAACCCTTACACTCCCACGAGAAACGAAGACAATAATCTCCTCACAATACAATATTAAGGAGACAAGTGATGAGAATAAAGAAAAATATCAATGAGGGGATTATTGGTTGATCAAATACCAAATTCTCCAAACCAAAATAGCGATGATTGTAGGGCAGAAGGTAAAGAGAATTACCGACGGAGGCCTTTTTGTGAGTGAAATGGTTAAATCACCCAGCTGGATTAAGGTCAAATCCCATGTCGCTGACCAATAGCAAGTTACTCATTAACTCGCATAACAGACTATGGCGGGAAATAGAGAATGCTTGTTGTCCACGGGTAATTGTAAAAGAATCCTTGAGTCAAAAGCTTAAATGACATGTAAGCAACAGTCATAAGTTCACGAGGCAGAATGAAAACCTTCTTTGTCAGTAAAATGGTCTTTGACTTTTCGAACGTTGTTATTGTCTGTCTAGACTCTTACTGGGGGTCACCTTACAGGACCCCAAATGTGATTTTAAAGTATATGTTTACGCTTAGTATCGCTGTAAATCCTCGTAGATGACGCAAATCGTTGAACATTTCAGCAAAATATGTTAAGGTGAAATTTTGCAAAATTTGTTTCTTCTTCCTCGTTACACTCAGTATACTCGAGGAAGGTAGGGACGGATTGAACTACAACATCTGAGCCTCTCAGCAAAATGGTTAACTGTTTTGCACAACACCCAGATACTTTTGTTTTTGAAAATTTTTGTTCTCCAAAATTTGGGTGTTTTCCAAATACCCGAGGAAAATAGGGACGAGTTGAGCTTTTCATTGAACTGATGAACTATTTGGCACAAAAAGCCAATTAATATAATTTCTAAAAAATTTTATTTCTCCTGCCTGTGGATAAAACGCCATCTGTACAGGTTTTTCATTTCGACTTTCGTTTCGTGATGACCAAAACTTGTCGAGTGTTAAAAATAGCGGGTTTGTTTTCCTTGACGGGAGCACTGTCTCCAAGGAAGCTTTACTTGCTGAGGAACCTCCACGCTCTTTGTTTTTTCTGATTGTAAAGTAAATAAACTCACAAAGATTTGAGTAATTCCCGGTTAATCCTGCTCTCCGTTTGACCTTCGGCTCAACTAAAGTTTTCCAGCGTCGCCTGTCAGGAACACACTGTGGAGTTTTGCCCAGTGCCATCATGTATGTTGATTCAAGGCCTACCCGGCCCGCTTAGAGATGAGTTTGGTGAATGTTTCTGTTCATCTTCAACATGTTTCGGAACATAACGAGAGAAACACAAATAGGGAGAAATCACATGGCTACGCCGCTCTCCAAAATGCTATATAAGAGGATTATTTATTTATTGCCTTTTTTTTTTCTTTCCTACGCTCAAGAACTTAAGTCGAGTTTTGCGTGAGGTCGGTGCACAATAGTCCACTAGAAAGCTACACTTAAGCCGGTCCTCCTTAATTTGTTTTCCTTGTTGCCCTCGTCTGATTTGTTTTTCGTTTTTGAAATCTGGCTCACATGTTGAGAGGTTTCACGAGATTCTACCATTCGTTTTTCATGAGTGTTAGGCAACTCAGTTTTTTTTGTTTCAATATAAGAGAGCGACTCCTTGACAAGTTAGCTGCATCTAAATTCTTGTCAATCACAGAATTTTGATCTAATAAACAAGAGCTCCATAAATGATGATTGATACCGGAAATTAGGTCCCACATCCCGCTGCGAATCTCAAGACTTCATGAAAGAGTCACGACAAAGACACATTCTGATTGGCTCGCTTTATTATCCGCGCCGGTTGTCGTCACGGTTGCAAAATATTGTTTTCTTGCTTCGAAAAAAAATTCACGAAAGAGTCTTGGCGGCGTTTGATGGCCTTTCTGAGTCTTGTTGGGCATATGTGAAGGCATAAAATGAAGCAGCTGTTCTATTTTGGGCTTTTGATGTTTTTTTCTTCCTCAGAGTGGCGTTTTGTAGGTAAGTGCAATAGAGTTGGAAAGTAAGGCTTTGATCGAACCAGTTTCTAACCTGACTTAATTTAGATCAGTTGTGATTGCCTAAGCAATAAAAAGTTAACTTGTGTATTGATCAGCAGCGATTGATTAGTTAAACATATCACGACTGATTCTCAAAAATGAAATAGCGACTAAGGTTTGCAATGCGTGTCTCCTTTGACGTTGTGGAAACAAGCCGGCCGGCAAGGGAAGGCTTTTTTCTCCATAAAGTTATTCTAGACTTAAACAGATTTCTTTCATTTCAAAAACAACTGTTAGTTTTTTTTGCTTTGCTACAATTAACACATAAGAATAGAGAGGTAAAGGTAAATATTTATTTGGTAAACAGCTATCCTTTTATGTGCGTGTAGCTAGCGCTGTTTACTTCTCATGTTCAGTTGCGATCGTAAGGTACACTGATCACGCGAGCAAATGATAAAGTGGATCTCCCCTGTGTCATAGGAAGTTCACTTCCTCGGAGATCGCTTTAGATTTTTATCTTGGCCAATTCTTACAGAATTTTGATTTAAAAAATTGACCCAAGACGTATCTAAATTATCTAGGCAAACATTCCAGCCTGCTGGTTTCTGTGACCACTTTTCGACGCAGCTTGTTTTTCTTTTGCTCTCTCAACAAAGAAGGGACAGGAGGAAAATGTGGGATTTTTTTTTCTTGTTCATATCTTTCGGAAAAATCAGACCAATGATAGCGCAATTGTTTTATTTCTTGTTAATCGCATTAAATGTTGCTGATAATCTCTCTACCAATTAGCAGTCTAGAGACTCTTTACGCTATCTGTTTAAAAACAATTTTTCAGTGTGACTTTGATCGTAAGATTTCACCTGTGCTTTTGAAATATCGTAAAATTGAGTTTCATAGGCGAAATTGAAACAGTGTGCTAGTACCATTTCTTCCTCTGTATTTTTTTTTAAAAAGAAACTGCAGTCAAATTGCCTTACCAGACACGTTTGTTACTTTAATGGTCTATAATGTTTGGTATTTCCTGCTGAAAAGCCTGAGGTTGTCTCAATAGATTTGACCGGGCAGAGTTCTACTTGCTCTTTTGCTCCGGTGTGAATTCTATGTTAGCTTCTTTATGCGTCTGGCTCGGAGAATCTTAGAAATACAAGCGTTTTTTAAGTATGGTGCTGGCGAAACCCACTCTTAGTCTCGTCCTTTCTCGTTGGTGAAGACATCATTTTGTCTCACGGCAACGCTCGTACCGATTTAATTACTATGAATTGCTCTTTCATTTAAATCATCGAATACGAAAGGCGTTTCTTACACCTTGGCACTGACTCTATTAAAATCACTTGAGATGTGGGATTTGTCTAAATTTTGGCATATCTTTTAAAGAACTCTTCCAAATGTCAAACAGCCAGGCACTGTGGAGAAGAAAAGGAATCTTCAAGGGAAAACGCAGAATGGAAAAGTGAGGCATGCATTTTTGAAAACGTTCGGACAGTAGCTGATTTATGAGTTGCACCATAGTTTTTAATGAAATTTACGCTAGTGATGCTGATAGGGTCCAAAAGTCCACTGTAGTAATCAGTTTAATATTACTATTACGTCATATTTAAACGCCTTAAAAAGATAAATCTGTGGATCTTTCCTATTTACCCAGCTTTATGACTATTTCTTCCGAAACTGCTTTGGAAACAATTCAAAGCCGACCACATGCAACATTTTGTTTGGTAGTGAGAGAACTCCAGGACTGAGACAAAAAAAAAGACAATGAGTAGTTCATTTGATTCCTTCCTGATGCGATTTACAGACTTGTGATGATAGCTTGTCTAGCCAGTGATTATTTCAGTCATTATATACTCTTTGAAATGAAATATTCGTAAATCGAGCTGCGTCTAAAAGGGTGGGAGATGGTCGTTGAGCGGTGAATTATTATATGGTCTAAACTCCCAGTATGGTAACAATAAAAATTATAGTTCTCCTGTATTTTGGCGCTTAATTGCATTATTTTCTTGTAGCATCTTTTTATGCTCAGTTCTGCAAAAACGATTCCTGTAAACGTCTTCAAATAAATGTCATTACGTATCACATAAGAAAGCATTTCTTGCTATGTTACTCAGATCATACTTATTTTACACATGTGAGTCAGGTCATCTATGAATCACCTTGAGCTCAAGTTTCGAAAGTACTTGACTTTTTCATAGTCAGCAAGAAGAAGGCAGATGTGTGAATGATTAATCATTTTGGAGTCTAAAACCTGCACTAGTTGATATCAGAACACATCACTCACTATTGTTGCAATTTTTTTTGTCGTTTACTTGCAAAATTGTTATAACAAGATTTTTTTCAGTTCCGAAATGCATCAATCCAAACGTGTGCGGATAATTTATCACGGAACACATAATAACAAGCTTTGCTTGAAATCAGGGTGTTTGTCTAATCTGGGAATACATTTCAAAGCGTGAGTTTGTGTTTCCACAACTATTTGACTTTAACTTAAGTTTTCAACGCTGTAACTACTAACTAGTAGATTTTAAGCAAGAAGCAAGTCATTTAGCTGGCTGGTTGGGTAGACGTCTTTGAAAGCATTTTTTTCATGATTATTTTAGCCGGTGAGAAACCAAAAACAGTGTATTGAGACTAGATGAAATGAGTGCCAATTCTTCAAAAGGATTTGAGTCGCATCACATGGTGAGGGGAATAAAAAAATACTTCCATCATTTTTCAGCCGATGTTACTAAATTTCGTTTTCATCAAAATATAGGATCGATAAAGATTCAAATTCTTGGCCTATGATGCAAGTCGATCTCCACGTGTTCTTCGGAATTATTTTTATTTGTTCGTTATTGCTTTCTTAACCTACAATTCAATAAAAGGCGATAGGAAGTATTTTATTAAAACTCATCACGCGATTCTCGCGATAGATGCATTTTTGAAAAGCAGCATCATAAATGTTATACACTTCAATATTTGCAACACGCAAGTGTATTAGGAATGATTTTTGTTTTGAGGTAAAAAATAGATCACTTTTAAATTGAAATTAACTCTTGCGTGCCGCGAAACCTTGTAATGATTGTTTTGCATCATGTAATACCTCCTGTGTTTTGCAACTAAAGATACTTTATAAACCGATTCCTACCCATGAACAGGTTTACAATCGTCTGGAGTGGAAATCAGGATTTGTGAAAGATGGATCAAAGTGTCGTGCGACTCACATGAGGTCTCACGGATACAACCATCAAAGGAATAAGCTCCTTTGTCATCTTATCTATGTCCAATCTATATTACTATAGGTTTCAGATCTTTTTAGCATTTAAATAATTGTCAATTAAAATTGTCTATGCCTCTCAAGTCGATGCATTCAGAAAGTAAAGATGGCCATTATTCGATCCTTGAAGAGCATTTGGCTCGGATTTTCCAACCATCCCTGCTCTTAAAGGTTGTTTTAACGTACCGGACGGACCAGCTTTCAGTTAGCTTGTTACTAGAGTCAGTTGCTAGAGCACTGCACCGGTATCGGAGAAGTCGTTGGTCCGAATCCCGTACAGGCCTGAATTTTTCTCAGGGCTTATTTTCACTACTGCTTGAGTAGTGTTCATTACTGCTAAGATCGCTTTCAATTTCATTTCTTAAACTGCAGTTCACATATATATAATTTTCATATTTTCACAGTCAATGCACCATTAGTTTGGTGTTACAAATGCATCTGATGAGATGCTCTTAGTTCCTACACGCTAAGTCCATTCATCCAAATTTCTACTTGGCAAACTTCCTGATCAGACATTCTTTTTATGAAGAGCTCCTCCACTGATTCACCTAATCTAGCCGTTGCATGATCGTATATTCGTGTCTCGGTTGATAAGGGCATAGCGTGATATATTAGAGATCTCACTATCATATCAGTGTTGTTTTTCATGAGCATACGAAAATTATCATGTATGACCTGTTCGGCCCCACGCGTGTAATACCATAAGAAACCATGGTGGAAGCAGACATGCAGGGCCGGACGGGTCGACGTGAGCTGGTCCGGAAAAAGTCTTGCAGCCCTGCACCCATACGGCTTTGTTGCAAATACTTAAAGGAAAAACTGTGCTCGGTCTGTTATTCATGACCTCGAGCCAAATGTTTCTCTTCCGGCCCTCTCTTCCAGTGAATAAGTAAACATATTATGCATGCGTTACGTACATCTTACTTTATAAGGGGGAGAAGGAGTAGGAATGTTTTTGAACGCTTACCAATACATCAAAAACAACAGCAGGGGGGAAGCTCTTTGCAAGTCTGATAACCTGTTTAGACAGCACAGAATGATCTAGGAGAGAAGGACGCGAATGTTTAAGAGGGGTCACATAGGACATGGGAAGAGATACTTATCAGGTTCCTTCAGTTTCTCTCGCAGGTAAACTACTTGATATGCAGGCTAATTAATGGGCATAAAGTCACTTTCTTGTAATTTATTATGTTAAGGCTGCGAAATATTCCAAGATTTGCTTGAATCAGCATTATGCGAGTTTGATTGTAACTAATATCGTTAAAACAACTGATTTCCTGCATCTTTATCTTATCTCGTCAGACTGTAAGCCAGCCTTCACCAAGACACCTAGCAGCAATGGCAAAGTCTATGTGGATAAAGGCACCAACCCATTTGATTTATCGTGGGACTTCAACACAGACGGAGAAATAGTCACTTGGGTGGATCTGATGTACAAAAAGAGTGGTTCTCCAGACGTATTAATCGCCAGAAAAATTGGAAACCGACTCCAAGTCCCGAAAACCAGTAATTATTATGGAAGAGTTACCGCTGGAAGCGGAAAAGCCACCTTTGTACTATGGTACATCGCTGAAAGCGACGAAAGGACATTTGAATGCAAGGTTTACTTCTCATCAGTATCCAACCCCTGGATAATGAGTGCTGTTAAGCTTATAGTGGTTGGTAAGTCTTCGACTATAGTTATCATGGCAATTACTGCAGTCAGCGACAATATGGTAAAAACAACAACATTTCTCCCTCTCCATATATATTAAAGTCTTTCTTTAATTTGGCTCGCTGCCTCAATATTCTCTCCCTCAGCCATACATCTTGTTCGTTTCCTCCTTCCCCTTAAAATGTTGTGTCCCACTTGTTTTGAGTACGACGAATGGTTATAAGGAGCAAGAATAAATGGAAATGTTTGCTTGTATAAATCAGATACTCGACCGTGACTTTTTTTTCTCCTTTTCATTAGCTAAAAAAAGATAAAAATTAACGACTGTCTTGATATTAAATAGTGTACAAAACTCAAGTGATATTTACCTCAGTTTCTTTCTTTTCCTGTAAAGTTAAACCGAAGATCAGTCTTAGGACAACTCAAGCCGTCGTGCTGACAGAAGGAAACACCAGAACGTTGCTATGTGTTGCCAGTGGCAACCCTAAACCATCTTACACGTGGTATAAAAACAACGTTAAGGTTCAGGAAGATCCCAAAAACTCCAACTACACATTAACATCAGCCAACAGATATCAGACAGGCATGTACCGATGTGAAGCTGTTGTCACTGCCCCTGCACTGGGTCCATATAAGGCTGACTATAACGTCAGTGTCACAGTAAGATGTGAGTACGAGACATTCAATTTTGCTTAATCAGCTTTATTAGCCTCAACATGGAATTAATTTGTTAAAATTTATTGCAGTGTTCCAGCTGCATTCTCTAATGATGCGTTTTGGATCCACTCAGCCATGGGAAGCTTTCACGTTACCTATGATGTTCTGACAACCATTGGTCACAGAACTTCTTTTGTCTTGATGGGCAATCTGTCAGTTGGATGTAGCCCCTTCTCCCTACGAAATTAATGGGCGTAAGACCATATTTTGGGTCTTATATCAGTTCTTGCTTTCAAGTTTTGGTTTTATTCCATATCTCAACTGCAAAGTGTTATGGCTTTTGACAACATTTGGTCGTCACTTTGGAACAAAGTATCGTTGCGTTGTTTATAAGCTTTATCTTATAGCGGAACAGAAGTAAAAGGAATCTAAAGCCTTTTGGAATAATCAAATAGAAGTCATACTTACATATTTCATTTAAAACGAAGGTTTTTTTAAAATTAAATTTCTTTTTTCAGACAAGCCCCAACATAAGGTTAACAGTTTGGAGCGCAACGAAACCGTTTATTTGGGGCGCGATGCTATGTTTTATTGTCGAACAGAAGCATTTCCTATTGCGATCCAGTACAGCTGGTTTAAGGATGGCTTCCAGATATCCAATTCAAGGGATTACACGATTGATAATTTTGGTTTTGGTGAGAGCAGACTAACAGTGAAGCAAGTTACAAAAAGTAGCGTTGGACGATACTCTTGCTATGGAAATAATGACGTTGGAAATGGGAAGAAGAAATCCGTTTTCTTAACTGTCCACTGTAAGTTTTAACTGATGGATGTCCTTTTCTCTTTGAGCGGTATCCACACACTAAATACATGCTATTAAAATGATGAATAAAGGATACAATAGTTATGTTAAGAAAATGGAGAGGAAAAGCCTAGAGCCACCATTTAACAGCAGACTTAACTGACGCACAAACAAGCGAAGTAAACAAATCGATATCATTCAAGAATTTATAGCACATAGCAACACTGATATCTATCAAGTTTTGTTATCATGATGTTATTACGACAAGCTCCCCTGCTGCACGGTCGAAAAGTGAATGAGCAAAGCTTTAATTACCATCCTGTTTAGATCATAACAAGAAAAGTAGTACTTGAATATCATACGTTTACTATACGTTTTCCATTTAAGGATCCTAACAGTTCTTTTGTATGCGTTGCAGATGCTCCTCTTCAAATAGCTTTGACACCAGATCCAGCAGTTGTGAGACTCAATCAAACTATGATCCTGACTTGCCAAGCAGATGCTCTTCCATTACCTCGATACTCGTGGATGTTCAACGGAAAAACTCTGACCAAAGCTGTTTATAACACCTTAAAGCTAACCAATGCACAAGTAAATGATGCAGGAAACTACACATGCGTGGCAGAAAACTTTTATGGACGGAAAAACACGACAAGAGTTGTTAAAGTAGAATGTGAGTTGTAACTGCAGTAACGCCTTTGCCTTAGCATGGCACAAAACTTGCTGAGGGTTTGCTCCATGATATACTCGGATATATAATCTGGCCGAGCAGAAGGATGGACACTAGCGTTACGAAAGCCTTAAAAACTGACCTGAGACTGCAAATGCGCTTTTTTTATCACCATAAAACCCAATTCAAAGTAATAACAACTTTGCACATGATTTGAGCTTTACATGTGATTGGTGTTCATGGTGGCGCGAGTTTTCAAAACCAATCACAGAACCGATTGAAACAAAACCCATGATTTCTTTTACTAGTTTCTTAAAAACTGCTATTATAATTGTCCGCTAGTTAGTCTTTGAAATCGATTTTATGGTGAAGCTCTAAAAAGACCTCGCTGGGTCATTTTTTTTCCATGGAAATGACAGCTTTGTACAGCCCTTCTCCTTTTACTAAGTGACACTTTAACTCACAAGATATATGAGTACTTCGTATAATTCTTTTTAACTTTGTTAATCAGATGCACCTGCCGTTCAAACATTTACTACCGGAACTCATAAAAACACTGTAATTCAAGGAACAACAGTAGAGGTCACGTGCAGCGCAAATGGTTACCCTGCGCCAACGTTCACCATTAAAAGAGGAAATGAAATCGTTAACAGCACAGGAGGGAGATTTGTAATACGTAACATACAGCTCAAGGAAGAGGATGCCATATACACTTGTGAGCCAAGAAATATGATAGGAACAGGTGCTAAGAGAGAATTGAAGATTACAGTGCAAGGTTAGTACCATTGCCTTTTTTTCGGTAAAGCAATATTGGTTAACGTTGTAGAGCAGATGAGGTTCATTTTGATGTTTTGACACGCACTTTTGATTAAACTTGTGACTGCATAGATGTATTTCTTTAGTCCTTTCTTTTGAGTAAGTAAGTTCAAAGAGCTAATTTTCTTTCTCTTAGTGCCCATTAGACCTACCTTATAGGAAGGCTGTAGGCATTATGTTACGATGTCTTGTAAGTCCGTCATTTTCTCACCTAACCCCTCACGGTTTTCAAAATGGCGGAGTATCGTAAGACACTCGCAACTTCTCTTGCGACTCCTCTCGACTTGCGTAATTCAGCTCCGACTCTGGCCATGGTTGAACGAATCTGATAGGGTTTCTTCGGGTTCAGTTTTGGTTTCGTCGGGTTTAGCTCGATGTTTGTGCAGGGTCTAACCGTTGAATTTCGATTTGAACGTAAAAGCTTTCGAACGTTCTCACATATGCGTTTTACTCATAAGATATCCCGCATATCCTTTGAAGAAGAATGTAAATTGAAATAAAAAAAAGGAAAGAGGGAAGAAAAAAAAATGAAAAAGAAAGAAAAAAATACAAAGACAAAAACTGATGTAACCTTATACCATCAGACTCGAAAGGAGTTGGTATATCCATTACACAATAGGAAGTGCAAGTTTTGAATAAAAATACGTTCTATACACATTTAATACATTTACCTATTCTTTTAATTTCCTATCCTCTCCCAGGCACGTCAATTGACTTGTCTAGAAACTCTTTTCCAACCAATTCCTCCTTTTGTCACAATTTTGGCATCGAGAAGAGCTGTTCATTAACCCCGCCCTCTGCACTTTCATTCCACAATGATTTATACCACATTACTCTACAACTCTACAACAATAGGCACATGCAGTCATAGACTGCATTTTATTTATTCTTTGTTTCCTCTTTAAACTCTGCAGAGTGGCAAATAATTAAATATCAAATGACAAAAAACTACTACACCAAGTGACTTTGATTAATCTCTCCACAGTTTCTCCGACATTTTCTAGAAAATTTCCAGATTCCAAAAAGAACACGAAGGAAGGTGACAGAGTGTCTTACCTATGTGTAGCTGAAGGCAAACCAGCACCAAACATTACATGGACTTTTAAAGGAAAGAATCTTACCGATGAACCACCTTTCGTTATCCAAACCACAGTTCTGGTATCGTCTGATAAACTTAAGACGACTCAGTCAAGCCTTGCCATCGAAAAAGTAACTTGGAGAGAAGGTGGTACTTTCTCCTGCCTCGCATTTAATGATGCTGGTCAAAAGATACAATCCACAGAACTGGAAGTCGAGTGTAAGTTCGAATCACTCAGTGGGAAGCAATAGGGACCATTTCCGACCCAATGCTACTGAGTTGTTTAGACTGTAGGACAGGCAAAATTCCTTTGCCTTTTCAGGCAAACAGAGACAAACGTAAGGAGAGCGATAAGAGTGAATCATACTATGGGAGAGCGTTGCACTTTTTGAGCGTTTCTCGCCTGTTTTTCAGCTTACGTTAGGGGTTGGGGTAGTAAAGGGAAGTTTAGCCTGTGCCATGCCCTTGGATATAAAGATGATCAAAAGGGGGAGGGGGACGAAAGAAAACGGCATACAGGGCGGGGTAGATGGGATGCCTATCCATTTATGGAAACCTTTTAGCAATTCTGACTGTACCCATCTACGCACCCGTGTCGGTAGAGGAAATATGAAAATTGTCACAACAAACAGGATCCCGTCAGGGCTTGAGGTGGATCTCTCGATCCGTTGTTCAGCGTAATAATCACTATGCCACTATTAAGTGCGCTGTTTAAGCCATGTTCACACAAATAACATTGTTGTTGCAGTTTTTGCTTTTGACCGGGTGACGAGGCGATAGTTTCAGTCGCTTATTACCTGTTGATTTTTTCTTCAGATCGACCAGTTGTTCAGTCTTTGGCGGATCACCCCAAAAATCTCACTGTGGACGAGGGAAAAAATGCAACTTTTTTTTGTAGAACAAAGGGTTATCCACCTACAATTTCTCACAAGTGGCAGTTTAACGGTGCCACAATTTCCGGAGCTAACTGCTCTGCGTGTCCATCAATGACTTTCACAAAATATGAAGTCAATAAAACTGACTCAGGATGGTATTCCTGTTCTGGAAGTAACAATTTGGGTGAAGGTCCTTATGCAAGAGCTTATCTAACAGTAAAGTGTAAGTGAGAATGTGTTGCACATATTCGTGACTGTACTGTTCAATAGAACGAAGAAATAACTTACATAACTTTGAACCGACATCTTTTGTAAACCTGTTAATCGGAGCCATGTAGTATACCGAGAACTTTTTTTTTTTTTAACAAAAATGAACTTAACAAGAAAGAAGAAGAAAAAAACGGTTTACATCAAGCCATTTTGGTTGCCTGCCATAGGAACATTAACGTTCAATTTTCTATCACCTATCAAAGTCTCTTTGACATCTATAGGCAGATAAACTTATTTTCTGCATTTGGACATCTTTCTCTTTAGTTCTTATTTCGTATACATGAACTGTCGTTTATGTATAGGAAAAAAGATAAAATCAAAATGAACTTTAGCCATCTGTATTTCATTCTTCATCGTTGCCCCTTTAGATCAGTTATAGGCAGATAGTCATGGTTCGTGTGTAGACATAAAGCTCAGTGTGCAATCTGTTTCATGCCAGTCTATCAGTTACCTTTTATAATAGTTCTTGTCTGTTTTTTTTCCCATTTTGGTGTTCATTTCTTACAGAAATAATACGTATTGGTTCCCACCACATTGTAAATTAGATCTGCATGTTCATGGTAGAATAACTGAAAGGATAACACTATTTCCACCTTTAAATTGTGCCCTAAATCCCTTCATAGATCGTCCAACAATTATCTCCTTACGAGAAGTGTATACAGTAAACGAGACCGGAAATGTTTCGATGTTGTGTCGAGCAGATGGCTTGCCAAAACCTACAATAATCTGGAGAAAGAAAGGCAGCGGTGAGGTTCTTGCAAATGGTGAACAGTTTCATCTCCTTAATGCCCAAAGCACTGATGATGGTTCGTATTCTTGTACTGCAAGCAATTACCTAGGAGAGGACACAAAAGAGGTCATGTTGAATGTTCAAAGTAAGTTATTTGTGTGGTTCGTTGAAGAAGAGAAAACACAAAGTATTCGGGCTTCGAAAGGGTTTAACTTGTGCCGTACAGATACCAGTAAGGCGCTTTCACTAACTGAGCTACTCAGCTACACGTTGGGAGCGAGTCAAGGTTAAAAGTTTTTTTAAAATCTAAAGGAAATTATGAAAGTATTTCTCATAAAATATCAAATAATACCACTAAATATTTAGATACTGATAGAAGATTTCCATACCAAGGCATCAGATTTTCAAAATGTTACCCGCATCCCTGAACCTACATCTTCAAACAATCTCCACTCGCGGTAGACGATAGCAGTCCTCATTCATTTACATTGGGAATCACTGTTGTGTCAGATGTACGTATTTCATAGTCGTGTGTATAGTTAAACAAACTGTGATGTCTATGTTTAATTAGGAAGCGAAATAAAAAGGTTATTCCAAACTTCTGAGTTAGGGCTCATTGATATGGCCTGTTAAACACAAAATTCACTTTTGTTATGTCTTAAAGTTATTGTAAAAATGATTAAACACATTCCAGAGGAAAATGGGAAAATTTGCGATGCGTAGATTTGTACAGCTGTGTATTCACGTACAGGTCCTGTCCAGCCAATGTAAGAGGAACTTAAGAGGAAACTTAAAATTTAAGAACCTCCTCTACGCGTGGTTAAAATTACATATCAGCAAAACAAAGTGCGATGTTGATTTTGTTACAGCGCACCCAAAGATCAAGATCTCCAGCTCTGCAGACACAGTGATACCTGGAAATAAAGGAGACGTGGTGACCTTAATTTGTACCTTCAGCGGCAAACCGCTTCCTCGTCCATCATGGAGAAGGCAACTTAATGGGACGGATCTGGGTGTGTTTAATGGTTCTTACGTGAAAAACATCTCTCAGAAGAACAACTCCTCTTTCCTGAACGTGATTGTCAACAACACTGGTGAACATTTTTATTGTGTGGTTTCAAACCTTCTCGGAAGTGACAACTTGACATATACCATACGAAGAAGAGGTACGTGAAAACGAAATCTCTGCATACTAAGATTAGTTATAACGTTTTTCACTCTCACTCTTTCATTTCCTTTATTCCTAAAAGGCCAACATAATTTGATTCATCAAATTTGTCTAAGATCTTGCACTGCTGTATATTGCTGTAACTGGGAATCATTAAAGAAAACAACGTATTATTTTGTTTACAGGTGTTCCTGATCCTCCGAGTGATGTGAAACTTTCAGCTTTTAAGGTAGCTGATGCTAAAACTGTGAGTGTGAATGTCACCTGGACACCTGGATATAGTGGAGGATACGAACAAAAATTTTCAATATATTTTCGCGTGAAAGGAAGCGACAGTGACTTTGTTGAGAAATATGTCGGACACTCAGAGGACAACTTGTACACCATACAAGGACTTAATCCTAAGACCGAGTATGAATTTATTGTGCAGGCTTCCAATATAGCTGGCCTCAGTCAGAAGTCAACTTTAGTCAACGTTGTGACGCCAGGTAACCTTGTTCAGACAATTTTGCGTTTTGGATATCTACCTTTGATTTAGTTTTGATACAGTTTTTTTGCACTTTTTCTTAGAATCCTCAATACCAGCCAACAGAGGAAAAGGTATGTTGATTTCTCCCAGCCTGTAGTCTGTGTTCTAAACAATTAAATGTTTGTCGGAGTAGACCGATATCTTTGATTCAGTGAGAGACTACTTCTGAAAAAAATCGCGAGTATTGTTTTCCAAAGATAACCCCCTACAACATTTGCTCGTATTTCTCGGAAATTATCCAAAATGCACGCGGATTTGCTACACATTCGATTCTCGTCAGAGATTAGATTAAATGTACTGTTCATACTGAGCCAACCTTTCGGTATGTAAATATCTGATCTCGGTCTTCCTGAGGTTTTCAGTGACCTCCTAAAAATCTTGACAACGATCTAAAATATGCGGTAACTGTTAATCTATATTTGCTGTGTCATTTCTACAGTCAACGCAACAAGAAACCCAGATGACGCCTCGCTGATATTGGTTGAGTGGACAATAGAAGACAAAGTTGTCAGAAGATTAAACCTTGAAATCCAGGAGGGTGGGGATGGTGACTGGAAGCCTGTTTCTGGAGCAAGTAACATGAGTACCTCCATAAAAAGATTCACAGTAGGAGATCTCAGGGTTGAGGAGGTATACAGATTCAGAATGGACATGAGAAGGCCAAGGGAGCAGAGACCTGTGTATGTTTTTAGTGACGTTGGTACGTACGTATCATAGTAAAGAAATACGAAAGTCTACAAACATCTTTCAAAAATTATAACATTAAAAGCTGTGTGAAGAAAAACGCCTGTAAAACTTAAAACAGGTCAAAATAAACCGAAACGAAAATCGCTACCTCCTTGAAAAAGGATATGTGTTTCGGTTGATTTCACCATTAAACTTCCCGCGTCATAAGTTTAGAATTTTTGGCATTGTTAATCTTGGAAAAAGCAAAAAGGTAGGTATCGTTTTTAGATAACTATGCCAGCATAGTAAAGATCAAATGGTAGCTCATGGTGATAAAGGTACCAATCATACTAGTCAATATTCATCCCAGAGTATAAAATTATACTTCTTAAATTTAGAATATATTCCCATGATCCTGTCAACGATCTTAATTTCAATTTTTCATTGAAATATTTTAATTATGGGACATCAATGACCGTGCAACAGCATGTTTTCCGGATGTAAAGAACAGAACAAAAGAAAATCTCTACTTCCTAAATGGGGAGAAACCTTGTTTTTCTTAACATTGTGCTAAATTTATGTGAACGAACCTCTCTTTTTCTCTCTCAGTGCCAGCCGGTCATACCAGCCCCATACCTGAGAAGAGAGAAAAAAAGGTGTTTCTCTTCCCAACGTGGATGATTTCTGTTATTGCTGGTAGTTCAGGAGCATTACTTCTTCTTGTTCTTGTTCTCTGCCTTTGTCGCTGTAGGCGTCGTCGTAAAACAGTTGATGAAGGCAAGTAACTGCCAACAGTTTCTCTTTTTCGACCAGTCAGTTTGCCTGCATTTTACTTTTGAGATTTGAAGGATTTATATTTCTATATGTTGCTTTAAATTAAGGGTCATCAGCATCTGGCTTTAAATTGAACCAGGCGTTCAAAGTAAAGACGATAGAAATTTGAAATACTAAAACTTCTTTTTAAACTTTTTTATTAATGTTATAAAAATGTCAAGAAATTAGAGTTTGGGTATTACAATTTATTATCTAATTTGTTTCTTTTAGTATATTTTGTGGTGTGAGTTTTTAGTATTTGAGGGTTTTACGTAATCTCCTCAATTTTGAAAAGGTTACTTGAAAGGAAAAATGAGAGTTCAAACATTCGCTCTAATGCTGATGTTCCGTTTCAGCAAAGTTTTTAAACTTCATGCCTTTGAATTTGACGCTTATCAAATTTGCACCGTTCCTCATTATGAATTTTGTCTTCTTTCCTGTTTTAGTTGGAAAAGGAAAAAAGAATCCCACTTCAAGGTATAAAAACTTATCACGTTCTAGTGCACTTCTAATCAAGAAAATATAATAAAATAGCATGATGTTTGTCAGAGAAACAGTTTTTTGGTCTTTGAATATGCAATCTCAGTAACATAGTCTGTGTTTCGTCTCTTCATGAATGTTTTGAATACGGTAATGATAGTTGTATCTTAAGAGGTTTCTGAAAATCAGTCTGCCAAGGTGGATAAAAGCGTACTTATCCTGTATAAAATGGTTCAACTGTTTAATATCCTTTTCAGAAGTTTTGGATTAAGGTCGCCTTGGTAACTCTATTTGGGGGAAAAGAAGTAAAAGTAGCAACTTTTTCGGTTTTACAACGATATCATGAATTATCAAAATCTGCCGAAGCCGAAGGGTGAGACATCATGCAAAAAAAAATTAAATAATTGTTTTATCATACATTTTTAAAACAATCTGCAAGTAAAGACACTTCTCTCTGAGTTTGCATATGTTTAAGATCACTACACGGACGAGGGGCTTGGAAACTAGGCTGACATTACACACGACATGATAACCGCAATAACCGCAGATATTGGGTTCTCATCTCGACTTCTCATGCTTTTGAATATTTATTGAATGTTCATGACCAATCAGTTTTTTCATGGTAAGCCTAATGTATAATAACATCAATAAAGGGTTTCCGTGTCTGTTTTTTACCCAGCTATGTTGTAGGCGGTCCAGATGTGGTTTCAACAATGGAAGGGAGAGGTTCGTGTGGAGCCCAGGAATCTATTGAGGACGATCCGTTCGTTGTCGCTGCATCCATGCAGGCCTTGGATTCAACGAATGGAAGAAAGAAAAAACTTGATGCCACTATCAATTACGGATACGAGCCTGAAGGTACAAAAAACAACGCTTGCCACTGTTTTAGCGTATTCACATGTCGCATCAAATTTATAGAGTCACTATTGTTCGTTTTCTGACCTTCGTAAACAAAGAAAAAATTAGTGTTCACTGATGTTCATCTTTTCCCGCTCTCGATTCAAAAACAAGCAGAGATACTTCTCAAGCCGGGGTCGCGTCAGGAGAAAAATGGCCACGTTGTGCAAAGCAAAGAAGAACCTGAGTCAAACTCAGCGTACCCGGCCAAAGGACCACAAAGAGATTTCAACACATTTGCAACAAGCGTTGAACTTGTTCGAACTCCAAGGTAAGTAAACGCATTCTTTGATGTATTTTTTAAATTATGTTTTCGATTACCTTTTTGATAAATTCAGAAAAAAAGGTCTTATGTAGTCAGTACCTATTTTTATATCAATCCTGAGGAGAATCCAGAAATAGCCAAATAATCTTGAATATTTTCTTATGTCTTCTCACCTCTCAACCTACACTTATTTAATCGATAAAGTCTTGACGGCACTCGAGGTACAAGTGACATGGTGAACGTATCACTCGAGTACTCAACAACAATAATTATAACAATATTTATGGTAATGATAATAGCCGGATCGCCTGTAAACAAACTTTAGATAGAGGAGCCAGTATCTTAGCTTAGAAATTTCCTATTCAAACTCTTATGAATTTTAAGGATTGGCAAAAACAATTAAACATGAAGAGTGTGATGATTATTAAAATAAAATCCGATGTAACAAAGTGGCAAGAAACTATCGTGACGAGCTTCCTATTAAGAACATGAATCCGGCCGAGGATTTGCCCAAGCTATACTCCATAGTTCGTTTCTATCAATGAACTAAAATACCAGAGTTTCATACACCGAGGTCTTCCCTTAACGGAGGTTATACATATATGGACATGTGTTATGAAAAAAAAAAAATTAAAAATAAACTGGTGTCAGCAAGTCATCATGCTCAGAGGAGACTTACGGCATTGGGAAAAGCATCAGTGCTGTTAATTACGGGGATAAAGATTGCGCCGACGATAATCTTTCGAAGGGCTCTTACTACTAATTTACTAATTATAAAACTAGTTATTTTTTAGCTTATTTTATTTCCCTCTTTATTTAATGAATCTTTATTGTTTAGCTACTTAAACAATTATAAATGTTTGTTTGATTTTTATAACCAGTTTTTTTCTTTTCTATCACGCAGTAGAAACACAACGGCCGTCGAGAATCCTGTCTACACAGCAGTGGACGAAAAAGAGTCTTCTTCTCAACCGAAGGCGTCAACCTTACCTTTGCCTTCCAAAAACCAAAACGGTTCCATTAAAGGACCTCTTGATCCAACGGTACATTATGCTACGTCACAAAAGAAAAAGACAACCAAACAGCCTCGTCAGGGGCCACTTGAGTCAGCAAATGCTGGTATGGATGCAACGGCACGCACACATAGTTAGTAAATATTTTCATTTCAACTCATTGAGATGTGTTCTTTTTTATCCCAAGAATCTCCACTGCACAACACTTCAGAGGATAAACCTCAACAGGAGCCTTCGCTTGGAGATCTAGATCTGGATGACCCTTCCAGCCTTCCAGCCAGCGAAAGACCACCAGAAAAACCTACCCCCATAGCCATGTTGCCTAGCAGGCATACAGCCAACACCTTCCCAAGAAATCTAAGTAAGATTAGGGTTTTGTTTAACGCACAGCATAGTACACTTAGTGTTCTTATAAGGTAGTGCCTGAGCAACGGCAACAACAGCGCATTCACTCGTTTAAGTCACTGGAAAATTGAGAGCGTTTGATTCCCGTCGAAGAATTGGAATGGAAAGGCTTTAGCTTCGCAAGCTACTAAAGTCAGTCTGAGTGATTTTTGGATTCGTTGTTATCAGATTTTCATCAATACCATGTAAAAGTTAGGACAAAACCAAGTTGGTGGCAGCTGCATGACTCAACTCAACTCGTAAAATCTCATCCCGATAAAAACAACAATCGCAAACCTCAACGTAACGGACTTCATCAAACCGCTTCCGTTTTAAAGAAGGCTTTGAGAAAAGAATGAGCACGCCTAATGGAAGTCAGTATTTGTGCTTTTCCGCCACTTGCATAGGTGTTCATGAGAATCTAAAACACGGCCTGCACAAAGGGACCAGCAGCTGGGTGGGGGATTTTGGAGTGGGTTCACATGTTTTTCAAGGGGAACGGTTGCGGGATCAGTAGTCACGGGGGGGGGGGGGGGGGGTTTATACAATTAACTGCCACGTGATAACTAACGACCATTTCCTAATGCTATTATAATGGTATTTCACACAGATAAAGGTTCACCCGGACCACCAGGATTTTTTTATATACCTGTGAATAGAAAGGCACGAGCTCAAACTTACGGAGCAGATATGCCACATCAACCACCTCCGCCAGGACTCCCAAGAAAGGTAGATGGACATAAAAAAATCACGTTTGTACCTAGTTTCCAACTCAGACGTGCGCGTTTTCAAATACTTAGGTTGGTTTTACTTTAGGAAAAGATTTGCATGTTTTAGAGCTTTCGATTTTTTTTGATAGTAAGTTTATTTGTGTTTGTGATTCATATTGTTCGTTCATTGGGATGTCCCCTTTTTCAAGAAAGACAGAAACATTAGCAATGATAAAAAAAAATCCATAACCATAACAAGGAAAACATGCCTTGAGCTTATGCAATTAGTCCCAAGAAAGCTATGTACAAAATATAATCAGGAGCAGATCTAGAAGTCGCTATTTAAACTTACGTCTTCTTTTGCTGTCTGTCGAGTGGGGTCCTGCGATTGGCTACAAGTCGCTCAAGTGTTGTAGCTATGTGGCAACGTCGGGTTCCATCAAAAGTACAATAGGTTACCCTGTAAATCTTTCTCTGTAACTAACTTAAAAGAGCTACCCTTTTTTTTTCCAGCGCTATGCAACCGTTGATGGTCAATTAAAGAGGCTAAACTCACAGGGTTCGGAAGATTCTCGAAGTTCCGAGTCGACACAAAAGACACACGCCTCAAAACCGGAAGAACCGACGGATTGTGAATGCGACATAAGTGGAGTATCGAATATGAGTTATGTTAGTTACCTGGTGTGAAGAACACAGAATTGTTAAGATGCCACGTCAGTTCTAATTCGTAATGTGTAAAGATTTGAATCGAGAGCACAATATGAAACTAAAGGACCTTGCACAATAAAGGTCCGTACGCATGCGCTTTTGTTTTTGAAAACTCGTCAACACCACCGAATCTTTTGGCTCCCTAACGAAAACAGAGACTTTTCTAGACGTATTTTTTTTTACACAATTTAAACTGTATATTGTAGCTGAGTCATTAGTAAGAAATAAGAAAATTGAATAATCGGAAATGAAACTCTAATGAGCTTTCTTTCATTTGTAAGCATACGCTTACATACCAAATTAAAAGAAGTAATGGTAGCCCTGGTAAACCGTTTAAGCTTCTTTAAGAAAATGCAGACTATTTCAGCCGTATTCAGTTGAAAAAAAAACCAGCTATCCACCTTTCAGGAAGAGTTTTAGGTTTTACAAGAGAAAACAAATGTATTGCTTAGGTTGGCAAATTGAACTGTTACCCTTAGTTCTAAACACACCAGGAAAATCCATATAGCTATTATTAGTATTTCTAAACATCAACTGAAAAATATAAGATTTTTCAAATGAAAGTATATGTTATGTCTATAATAAATGTTAAGCTATAACTAACTTAGTTTACAGAAAAAATCTTTTTTTTTTTTTGCATACTTTTAATGTTTTAGCTGAACTCCTTCCAAATGAAATTAAATAAATAGTGAGAACTTTACAGCTAAGGAATATTTTTTGTTGAGACATGGCTGGGAAGAGGAGGAGGGAAGGGGGATGGATTGGTTATATTTGTAGAAATACAGTTCCCGGATTGGTCAATCTCCTTCAGCTGACTGTCAGAACGCCTCCTATTAGAAGTAAACAAAGAAGAAAAGTGACGCGTCTTCGGACCTGCCAAAAACTCGAATAATGACGGACAAAGCCAATTGCAAAAGGGCAGTTCATAAAGATATGCTCCTCTGGTCATCGCCAAAAAAATATATATTTAAGTCGAGTTTCTCATATTCTTACATGGGTAGTCCATAATTACTGCGAGATGAAAAAATGCGGGCTGAGACTCTGTTACGTCACAATAAAGTGCGTAGGCTGCTGAGCAATATTCAAAATGGCGGTGTTCATCGTCAAATTCTTTCGCACATATGAAGACATTTTTCCAAATCCAGATTAATCTTTGGAATATCAAACCTCGGACAGCGTCATAGTGACATACATAGTGATACTTTCATACTTTTTATTTTGCGATGATGGAAAGTATAGGGTCCTTGGAGTATGCTTTTCCTATAACTTGCAAGCCGCCACTTCATGTGTCAGATGCATTTTCCTGGCTCACGTCCATAGATATATAATGACAACAACTTAGGTAATACATTCATAATCAACAAAGAGACTATTTAGGGAAAGATGTTTTTTCGTCTTCGAATCCCCATGAGGAATCGAACCTCAGACCTGAGACTATTTGGCTCTCATTTTAACCATCACAATAACTTTTTACAACACAAGACAAGATTCGGCGACCTTGTACTTATTATTAGTAACTTTGGTTGTTAGGAAAAGTCGTACCTATTGTAGCATGTAATTTTTACTTTTGCATTTTGTAAGTGGTTGGTGTGTTACCTAACTGGCTTTTACGGACCAATTGAGATTGATTGATTGATGATTGATTGACTGACGTTGCATTTGAGTGTCGAAAGTAATTCGAAATTGCCTTGGTTCTGATTTTTCGACTCTTATTTGAAATGCACTCCAGTAACTTAGCATTTAACTATTTTCTATAAAATAGACTTCATCTAAATGATAACTATATAAACGTTCTAAACGTTACATCGCAAATTGTTCTTCTTGATCCGCGTCAAAGGTCACCTAAATGGGCAATAACCGTTTTTAAAAAACGCATGCAATCAGTTAAACAAGGCGTGTATGAAGTGCCTCTTCACTAAAGGTCACGTTTTTTTCGCGATTAATTCTTGATCCTTGTCTTTTGCTTTCAAGTGATGCCAACTTGCTGTTGTTGACACTTGATCTTGACCGTAATCGACCAGAGAGTTTAGGAGAGTATTTGAATTTTTTTGAGCAGAAAGGCTGACGTTTTCCCTGTTTTGCAACAGATTTCGCAAGGAAGACAAGAAGTCGCGTTTGAAAAACGTGTAAAGTAGAGGCTTGGCGAAAGATGTGATGTATCGAATGATCACAACTGCTTCCATGACATTGAGCAAAACTTGGATTCCCATACCTAGTAATAGCTTGATGGTAAAATAAGGCAACCAAGAGCATGTAAATATGATCGCCATCGCTGCGAAAACCAAGATACACTTCCGGTCACTTTGGCTTTTTTTCTTGTTCTGTGGTATGTTTTTTTCTGAACCAACGACGATCGCTGCCTATTAGATATCGTTCTGAACATTGCTAAGAATGCGTGGATAATATATATGTATGGCAGGAGGAACACTGTAACAAGGCAAACTGAATTATAAATGAATCCCTTAGTTACCACGTGGTGTTTTAGTGGACGGACAGTTGCCAAGTACTTGAGGGCAGTAATAACAAGTATGTGATAAGCACCAGAAACAGCTAGTAATGTATGCAAGTAGTATATCCCATAATTCAATTCTTTTGGCAAAATCGCAAAACTACAGACAATGAGGTATGGAATGGCGATAGCACCAGTGCTGAAGTCACAAACTGCCAAACTGAGAAGCACGTAGTTAGAAGAAGTGCGGAGAAGGCGACATCGATAAAATAAGGCAAACACGAGTCCGTTAGCCAGAACTATTGCTATGGCAATTGGACGAAGTTTGCTCAGGGTCTTGACTCCATCGTCTGAGTGTTGTTGAGGAAACTTTGAGGTTGCATTGCTGTTAATCATGGTTACTTCTGATGAAACGAGTGAAGACGAAAACACTGAGAGAAGGAAAAATTGTAAAACTAAGACAATGCTAACAAAATCTGTACCTCGTTTAGCGTAAGGTGTGTGTAAAAGTGTATATGAAAGTGTGTTGTATGAATAACGAGTTATTCGGTTTTTTTGGAATGAAAAGAAACGCATTTATTTTTTCTCAGAGGGCACGGTAACGAAACCTGCAATCTGATTGGTTCTTAGTGCGGTGCTGATTTACCTATCTCTGTCCAAGGGTACGATAAGGCTTTTGTGAGTCGTTGAGAACATCCCCAGCTTCTATGCCATTTTTCATATATATATATATATATATATATATATATATATATATTTTTAATTGCTGGGCAGTATTTTCAAACAAAGTATTTTTAAGCAAATCAAGTGGATTAATAACTTATTAATCCTCTCTTTTCCCTCTCTTAAATCTTTTTGGTGGCAAGTTGAAATGAAAACAGTTTCTAATTAACTTAAATCCTTCTCAAAAGTTATTCAGATAGTTAAAACTGTGAGATATTTGTTTACAATTGTATAAATCGACGGAGCTTTCATTCATTTAATATCTGAATTCTCTCAAATAATTTCTGTTAGTTCTAGAGATAAGTTACCTGATTGAGTTCAGCGCTTTCCAATTGTGTAAGGAAGCATAGAGTAAGGTAGGGTTTTCTTTTTCAAAGTTTAACTATTTTTCTCATTTTTGTTTGAACAAACTGTCAAAGTTGAAAAGACCAGTTTAAATTACTTGATAAGCAAATGGTAAGGTAGTCTTGAGGCAATAGGTAGTTATTCTAAAATCTATTTTCACGTTAAGTATATTGTCTTATTTCTGCCATAAATAACATTTCGTTGGATATCCCACTTATTGTGGATATCATTAAAAGTAGATATGAATACACTGTTTTACTAACTAGATCCATATTCCTGATTGAGGTTATCACTGCTTTGACAACAAATTTCGAGTAGCGGTTTGAATAATACTTCTTTTATCTTTTTGTGTGAGGGAAAATAAAAGGAGCAAGGGTTCTTTTTTCACCTGCATCTTTCGTGTTTGGAAAGTCTACTGAAGTCGACGAAGTCAATGAAATCGCCAGCAAAACTAATGGTAAAATTGTCTCAGGAATACAGACAATTAAGTCAATATCACTTTCCATCAATCATGGTGTAAATTTCCTCTGGGAGTACATTTTTCCCTCTTGGTTATTGATAACAATGTTTTCAGAATCGAAATTTTACTCGTTGAAATAAAATATGTATGATTTAATTATTCATATCGGCATACCTGAGTGATGCTCTCACAGCTTGTAGTAAAAACTTGGCCTGAAAGTGTAAGGAATGCAAGGAAGTGATGTAGGTTCCTAAGTTATATTGGCTGAATCTTTCCTTTGAGTCGGACATTAACTTTTATCCCATTGCAAAACTTTTTTAAACTTTGAAATGGACAGCTTTCTCACAAACTGAACCATTAGAAGGAAGCGACACGTTTGCAAAATTGTGTTAAAACCAATGCTCATTTCAATTCTTCAAGACTTATATGCAAAACTTTTTTAAACTTTGAAATGGACAGCTTTCTCACAAACCGAACCATTAGAAGGAAGCGACACGTTTGCAAAATTGTGTTAAAACCAATGCTCATTTCAATTCTTCAAGACTTATTGTTAAGACGTAGGCGGAATCACTGAAGAGACTACGGGAATCATTTGAAAACGACTAAACATTTGAAATAATCATGCACGTATTTAGTGTGTTGTATGAAACTTAAAAAATGCAAGCCTCCAAAGACTGGAAGTTAAAAGTGGGTTTTTTCCTTATGTTTCGCCTTAGGGCGAAAACTTTTCCACCTGAATGCATAAGTTAAGTTTCCTGCTTAAGACATTTTATGACAAGAACGCTACAATATTCATGGCTGTATCAGCTCACCAAAAATCTCGTAGGTTTCTGTGCAGCGCCTGATCTCCTCATACATGGGACGGAAAGGAACTGAAATAAAAATTTTTCGTAACAGTAACTACGACAGCATCTTTTTATTTTGATTACGTAATTGCCAATTTAATTGTTTCTTACTGTGCAAATGTTTTCTTGTCTTTGTTACACCTTTGAAATAAACGTTTTTTGTTTTGTCTGGTCTAAATGAACAAAAAAATCGAGCCTATTTCCTAGAAAGGTATCAAAACTTGACGGGCGTTAAGAGCTTAGTCCTTTTGCATTGAGCAAATCGAAAGCAGTTGTACAAGGACATGTTATTAACTTTGATAATTAAACCACCGAATCTTTGAATGCAAAATGGAAAAATCAACTCTAATTTACAAAAGCTGAGATACATTTACCAAGATTTGCTCAATAATTTTAGCGTCGATCTCACTATGTGGGTCATTTGCCCATCCAAACCTCGGAACCGTAAGTGAGGTGGAAAATTTGTTTTCTTCACTCCCAAAATTTCGAATTTAGACTTTGTTTAAATACAAAAAGAGTTATCGTGTGTCATTCTAACTTTAAAAAAAATTGGTTCAAAACTTCCTGTTGCAATTGCTAGAATTCTGCTAATCCAATTATTTGGCTAATATATTACTAAAGTTTAAGTTGACACCTCTTATTGAGAGAAAAGAAAACAAAGGAAGAAAAATGACACGTCATAAAATTAAAATTTGTCCTTGTGTACCAAAAAAATATATAGAGACATGAACTTTGGAAAAAGCTGTCTTGTTTTCAATAAAGTTT